GCAGCCCGCACCCCAGAAGCATCTCTAAGCTGGGGGCGGGAGGGGAGCGCTGCGGCTAGGACATGTGCAAAGTGACAGGGATGCGAATGTGCCTGAGTCACGGGGTTTGTCATGGAATGTGTCAGCCTGCACCACACCCCCAATCCCAAACTGCCCTGGTTGTCACCCGGCTCCTGGGGTCTATGTGAGTTTTTCTGGCTACCCATGCCCTGCCCAGGCAGGTGTAGCTGGGCTCAGGCCCTCTGGTATTCAGGGAAGGCTCTGTCAGATGGGGGTATCAGAGATGGAGGAATAGTCCTTCAAAGGGGGAGGGGGTCATGAGGGGTAGAAAGTTTCCCAGGAATGAACAATCCAAAAGAACAGTGTCCCAGTGGTGGACGGACATGCAGCTTGCAGCCTCTGGAAGGAGATTAGGATGTGATGGGGACAATGGGGGGAGAGACCACCAGCCCAGGGTACCCAACTGGGAGGGCACAGGTACGTAAGCAGAACAGGGCAGAGAAAAGAGGTCACAGGAGGTGTGCCTGGACAGTGACAGGCTGGCTGGGGACCCTGGGTTGCCCCCTGGGCCACTGTGCCTGGCCTGGGTTTAGGGAGTCAGGCAGATGGGGATCTTGAAGTCACATCCCAGATTGGTACAACTTCTGAAAGTTTACTCTCTGAGCCCTGCTTTCCCCGCTCTGTCACTCTGTCGGATGGCTAGGCAGTGTGTGAAGGACTCGGAGCAGCAGGGAGGGGTGTGGTGCTGGGAAGAGCAGGACCACTAGCCTCCCTCCCTCCTGATTGTGCCTGTCCCCTTCTTGTTGGGTCTGGCCAGATTATGGCGGGCAGGCAGCCAGTTTCCTTAACCCCGCAGTTCCCAAGGGTCTGAATAAGGCCCACCTCAAGCCCCAGGGACTTGGGGGCCTTCTCAGAAACTCTGCTACCAACCCAACCAGCGGCTTCGCTCCCCTGTGGACACTGGCCTCTGTCACAACCGGGAGTAATGAATTGAGTTGTAGCTCCCCCTCTGACTGCCCTCCTCTTAATCTAACCTGTCCTCCATCAAGCCTGATGGGCTTTAGGTAGCCACACCCTTTCTGCATGACCCTGCTAACTGATTGCCAGTCCTCGTCCGTTCATTCATTCATTCATTCAGCAAGCAAGCAAGCAAGCACTGAGAGGCCCCTAAGCCCTGGTGCCATCTTTCCTCAAGGAGCCCCCAGCCAAGGGGAGAGGCCAGTGGGTAGACAGTGATGATACCCAGCTGAGACCCTGGAGATGCTTCCTCAGTGCCCGGGATTCTTTCGGGCTTGGTAATGACCTGGGTTTCAGGGCCTAGCGATGATCTTCAGAAGAGGCAGCTCCTTAGGAAGCCCAGCATGGCTCTCTGCAGGCTGTCAGCCTGCAAGTCACAAAGTTCTGAGTCCTCCCAGGAGTCCCCGGGACCTCGCCCTGTTCCTAAGTCCACTCCGGCTGCCCTGCTTCACTGTAAGTCTGCTGGGGAAACACAGAGGCTCTGCCAAGCGGCACCCCGATCCAGCTCTGGTTGAGGCTGAGGGGGACAAGACAACAAAAATAATGGCCACCATCTTCCTCCTTCCCCTGGGGTGACCCCAAGAGCCTCAAGCTCTGAGGACCTCCCCTGTAATTCTCCACACCGAGGAGCAACCCACCAGCGCTGAGGCTAGTGATAGTGCAAGTGTGGCCATCCTTTTGAAAAGCCTCTTCCCAGCATTAGCTCCTGGTATTTTTTCCCTAAATGGAGAGGCAGCCTCCAGGAGACTGGCAGCTGTCCCTACTCCCTCCTGGCAGGAAACTCCAAGCAGGACCTTCAAGCCCCACTGGGTGCAGCCACGGGTACCAGGAAGGTAGGGGCACTGCAACCCATCTGGCTAGGTGGATGGGGCTTGGGCCAGGCAAAGGGGCCCTGCATGGACCTAACTGGCAGGAAGACCAGTCTCTGACCCTGAGCTCACCTTTCTCCAAAGCCCTGACCCCCTGGGCCAAAGTGTGGCTGTTTCCAATTTTGAGCTACAGAACGGGGAGGTTCTCACGCTGGGTCAGTGAGGCTGGAGTGTGGAGACAGCTGGAACCCAGCAGGACCAGGGACACGCTGAGGAGCAGCAAGGCTGCCTCTGTTAGAGAGGCAGTTCTGATCCAGCGCATGGGGGTAGGGGTCAGGAGGGCTGGTTGACAGTCAAGGCAGTACCCTCTGGCCAGGGGTGGGGATGGAGGGTGGGATGAGGGCAGCCAGACCTCAGACACCTCCCCCTCCCCCGCCCCCCACTGAGTGTCAACCTGGGCCTGGCCACTCCTTCAGAGGGCTCTCTCCCAGCGGCAAGTTTGTTTCCCCAGGTTGGCCCTGAGGCCCCGGGGGGTGGAGATAGGACTGTGGACATGTGCAAACGTGAGCTCCAGTGGGGGACAGGAAAGGAGCCTCACCGTTCGGGGCGGGGTGGGGGGGGGGGGGCATCCACGTGCATCCCCCAACTCAGGCACTCCACGTGCACACCCATGGCTGGAAGCATTTTCAGTCTAAATCTGCTCTTGAGTTATTTCTCCCCTAGTGCCGCCTCCGCTGCCTCCTCGGGATCTTAGACGAACCGGGCGGCTTCTTGCCTCTCCCCTGCACCCCCCTCCGCCTCCGGAGCCCCTCCCTGCTAAGCTGGGTTTGCCGGATCCGGCTCCCACACAGCGCCACACCGCCAGCCGCTGTCCGCGGTGGAGGCGGCCGGGCCTCGCCTTCGAGCACGCGCACAGCGGCTGCGCGGGGCGCTGTCCGTGGTGCTGCACGCCGAGGGCCCAGCCGGCCCCGCCTCGATGTGGGAGGCGGCCAAAGCCGGGTGGGCGGCGCGCCCTGAGGGATGAAATAACGGAGCCCTGCTCCGGGAACACAGGAGGTTTTCAGGCTGGGGCTGCTTCCCTGCACCCAGCAGCCCGGAGGTGGGAGTTACGTGAATATCCTCTCCCCCGGGGCCCAGGAGTAGGGGCCAGTTGTGGCCTTCATCCGTAACTCCGTGAAGCACTGCTGGCCACGATGGCCCCCTCCTCCTGTACTGGCATTCAGGGCAGCCCTCACGTCACACCACCCCTGCCACTGGGAAAACTGTAACTCCCTGGAGCCTGATCTAAGACCCCTGCCCCCAAGCTGCTCTGAGGCTGAAATCGATGATCATTCCAGTGGGTGATTGGCAGAAATTATAAATGTCATGGATCAACCTGTGCGAAGTCATGAGTTACCTGGTCATGAGCTAGTGAGGGGCTAGCCAAGGTGTGGGAGCCTCTTTTTTTGGGAGGGGGGGGGCGGCAGGGCCCAGGGTGGACTCTAGCCTAGAGGCTCATGGCTGCCAGGTCAGGAAGGCTTTGGGGCCCAAAGCTGGGTGGGCAGTTATGAAAGCCATGTGTCCCAGGCCTGTGCACCCTCTCCAGACATGGAATGCTAGCAAGGGTTGTCCTGTCCAGGGCTTGGAAGCAGTAGAGGGTGTGGCGTTGGGAAGAGCCACTTACCTCCCTCATTCCCAGTGGCTCCTGCCCCCTTCCACTCGAGCAGGCCGCGGGGTTTAGAAGCAATTTCCGTGTCATTTTCTAAGTGCCCGTTGTAAGCCATGCACCATGCATAGCCCTCTGCACATGCTGTCCGATGGAGGGGGTAGTCACCTCTCTGGCTTCTGAGTGAGGAAAGTGAGGCTTGGAGAAGAGAAGGCCTTGCCCAGGCCACACAGCCAAGGCGGGGCCTGTTTTGAGTCCAGTGTGGGACCGTTTGGAGGAACACAGTGCACAGCCTCCTCGCGGGGTGTCTGGTGGCAGGGTATCTGGAACGTAGAGAAAGGGTAGCACTGTGAGTGCCACTGCTCCGTCTCCCAAGGGCCTGTGGCATCTGACACCCATTCACAGACTTGTTGTTCATCCTCACCTGAGGGTATTTTTCCATTGATCTTTTAGAGAATTGGAGGCCTGAGAAGGGGATCCAGGGTGGTCTCAGCCCCACTCTGGGGAGAGCCCCTTTCACATAGCCTTCCATAACCAGCTCTGCTCCACCACTGTGACCCTGTGCAAGCAATTCACGCTGCCTCAGCTTGGCTTCCTCGTCTGGTTAATGGTTACCGTCACCACAGCATTATCCTCAATGAACTAGGTGGAGGATTAAAGAGATAATATGTGCCCTACCAGTTTGGGTCAGTGGATAGAGTGCTGGCCTGCAGACCGAAGGGTCCCAGGTTTGATCTGGTCAAGGGCACATACCTTGGTTGCAGGCTTCTCCCCAGGTGTGTGCAGGAGGCAACCAATCGATGTGATTCTCCCATATCAATGTTTCTCTCTCTTTCCCTCTCTCTTCCACGCTCTCTCTAGAAGATCAATGGAAAAATACCCTCGGGTGAGGAAGAGCAACAACAAAAAAGGGATAGTATGGTCCAGCGCTCACTGTGCTGGCATCACAGTAATCTCTGGGAAGCCACCTGCCCTTCCTTTGGGTAGATTCTGAGCTACAGAACCTCCCGTAGCCACGGAGATTCTCAGGGGCCGGTGTGTGAATCTCAGAGTACTGGGACTACTCCAGAGAGCCACACCAGCCCCCCACCATGGAGAGGCCAGCGACTGCCCTCAATCCTTCCCTTAGTCATACAGCCCCCATGCAGTGGGGCTGGGCCTGGCAGGCACTGAGGGTGGGCACCAGAGCAGCAAAGGTGAAGAGAACAGTAACGGGTGAGCGACGTGTCTCTCTCCACCTCTGTTCTCTCCTGTGTAAAGCAAGCACCGTTGTGCCTGGATGTGGAAAAGCTCAGTGCGTGGGTGCAGGTTGAGCTCAGTGCACACACTAGGTGCTCAGAGACTGGCCCAGTCCTGTTGCTGCTCCATCGGAGAAGGAGGCTTGCACTTTGATCCTCTCTGTCGGGTAACTCTAAGAGTGTCCTGGGAGGGGACCCCCGGGGGACAGGAAGGGGCCCGACTCTTTTCTGCCCTCCCAGGGCGAGCATGAGATTCACTCCTCGGCCCTGTCTGCAGAGTGACGGAGGAAGATGTCCAGCCCCGGAGTCGACGGCGACCCCAAGCCCCCATGCCTGCCTCGAAACGGCCTGGTGAAGTTGCCGGGCCAGCCCAACGGTCTGGGTGCGGCCAGTATCACCAAGGGTACACCCGCCGCCAGGAACCGCCCCTGCCCACCACTGCCCCCACCCACTCTCCCACCGCCCAGCCTGGCTGCCCCGCTGCCCCGGGCTGCCTTGGCTGGGGGCCTGTGCCCCCCAGCAGGGATCCCCCTCGGTGGACCGGCCTCAGCCCCTGCACCTGGGCCCCCCGTGGAGCGGCCGCCACTGGCCACAGATGAAAAGATCCTCAATGGCCTCTTCTGGTACTTCTCGGCCTGCGAGAAGTGCGTGCTGGCCCAGGTGTGCAAGACCTGGCGGCGCGTGCTCTACCAGCCCAAGTTCTGGGCGGGCCTCACGCCCGTGCTGCACGCCAAGGAGCTTTACAACGTGCTGCCCGGTGGTGAGAAGGAGTTCGTGAACCTGCAGGGCTTCGCAGCACGTGGCTTCGAAGGCTTCTGCCTGGTGGGCGTCTCCGACCTGGATATCTGTGAGTTCATCGACAACTACGCCCTGTCCAAGAAGGGCGTCAAGGCCATGAGCCTCAAGCGCTCCACCATCACTGACGCGGGCTTGGAGGTGTGTCCTGCTGCCGGCTCAGAGGGACGGGTATGGGGCAGGGCTGGGCAGCAGCAGTGGGGCAGGTGTGAGGGTGAGGAGGGGGGCGGGTAGACCCAGAGGAAGCTCAGGCACCTAAGCACAGGAGCAAGGTAGCTGAGGGCTGCACCGATGCCCTGAGGGAGAGCATGGCTCTGGGAGAGGTGAAAGCAGGACTGGTTACATAATCTGAGCAACCCAGTCCAAAATGAAAATGCAAGTGCCTTGTGCATAGATGATTTAGAATTTCAAGACAGGGACAGGAAAGCAGTTCGTAAGTGTAAGGTCCTTCTGAACGCCGGCCCTGCATGCCAGTGGGGAGGATTCTAGAGGTAATTGGGGGGTCAGGGGGAACGGGGCAAAAGACAGAAGTGCAGGTGGCACCTTCTTGGGATCTGGACTCGAAGCATCTGATCATTAACACCAACTGCTCTGGGCACGTGCTCTAGCCAGGCCCTGGGCTCCCGGTTCCCTGTACCCTGCCTCCTCTTTCAGTGTGGCTGAGGTGTGACAGAAATGCGATAAAGGGCACTTATGCAAGAGTACAGCTCCATGGATGTTCACACGGAGGACAGGGTTCCTTCTACCCTATCTCCTGTTCTCCTCACCATGCCCCATGGGGAGGGGCACACCCAGGGAACCGCGGTGAGTTTGAAGGTCATGCCCCCCTGGCCCGCCCACAGGTGATGCTGGAGCAGATGCAGGGCGTGGTCCGCCTGGAGCTGTCCGGCTGCAACGACTTCACCGAGGCGGGGCTGTGGTCCAGCCTGAGCGCCCGCATCACCTCGCTGAGCGTGAGTGACTGCATCAACGTGGCGGACGACGCCATCGCGGCCATCTCGCAGCTGCTGCCCAACCTGGCCGAGCTGAGCTTGCAGGCCTACCACGTGACGGACACGGCGCTGGCCTACTTCACGGCGCGCCAGGGCCACAGCACCCACACGCTGCGCCTGCTCTCCTGCTGGGAGATCACCAACCACGGCGTGGTCAACGTGGTGCACAGCCTGCCCAACCTCACGGCGCTGAGCCTCTCCGGCTGCTCGAAGGTCACGGATGACGGCGTCGAGCTCGTGGCCGAGAACCTGCGCAAGCTGCGCAGCCTCGACCTCTCGTGGTGCCCGCGCATCACCGACATGGCGCTGGAGTATGTGGCCTGCGACCTGCACCGGCTGGAGGAGCTGGTGCTGGACAGGTGTGTGCGTCCTCCCCCACCCCCGGGCCACGGGGGCGGGATGGGGCTGTAAAGGGGGGGGGGGCCTGCAGCGGGGTTGGGAGCGGGGAGGAGGGGCCTGGTGTGGGTGACATGGGGGCTATGGGAAGGAAGGCCATTATGAGTGGGGCAGAGGGTGAGTTCACACCAGGGGACCCCAGGAAAAGGAGTGCGGGCTTGGAGCTGAGGAAAGAGCAGTGTTCTGGAAGTGGACAGCCCCACTCTGTTGCACCCACAGGTGTGTGCGCATCACGGACACTGGCCTCAGCTACTTATCTACCATGTCGTCCCTCCGCAGCCTCTACCTGCGATGGTGCTGCCAGGTACCGGCCCTTTGCGCCTCTGGATGTTGGGAATAGGCGGGGGAGGAGGGGGGCTCAGGGAATGTCCCGGCCCCTGTAAGGAAGTCTGGGATCCCTCCGCACCCAGCGGCCGACGTAAGTGGAATGTGCGGCGTCCCCAGGACCCTCAACGGCTTTCCCCAGCTGCCTCCTGGCTCCGTGGGGCGCTGAGAAACCCCCGTTTTGAACCCCGCTCCCTGCCCCTCCAGCAGTTCCAGGCCAGCGGCCAGACCCCAGGAGCAGGGTTCCTACAGGGCCGAGCAGAATAGTTAACTCGCTCCGCCTCCCGCCAGGTGCAGGACTTCGGGCTGAAGCACCTCCTGGCCATGAGGAGTTTGCGGCTCCTGTCTGTGGCAGGTGAGACTACCCCGGTGCCCTCCTGGACAGTGATCACACACACACACCCCGGCCGCCCTCCTGGACAGTGATCACACACACACACCCCGGCCGCCCTCCTGGACAGTGATCACACACACACACACACACACACACACCGGCCTTCCTCCTGGACAGTGATCACACACACACACACACACACCCGGCCGCCCTCTTGTGCAGTGATCACACTCACACACACACACACACACACACACACACACACCCCGGCCGCCCTCCTGGGCAGTGATCACACACACATACACACCCGGCCGCCCTCTTGAGCAGTGATCACACGCACACGCACACACACACTTTGCCCGCCTCCACCAAACCCGCGGGGTCCCTTGTGCGGATTCAGGTCCAGGCCATCAGAGGGAGATCCCGGGCAGGCCCTAGCCCGCCCAGCTCAGGCCGGCCCCCCTCCACCCGCCGCCCTCCCCCGGCCCCGCCCACTCAGCCGCCGCTCGGTCCCGCAGGATGCCCGCTGCTGACCACCACCGGGCTGTCGGGCCTGGTGCAGCTGCAGGAGCTGGAGGAGCTGGAGCTGACCAACTGCCCCGGGGCCACCCCCGAACTCTTCAAGTACTTCTCGCAGCACCTGCCCCGCTGCCTCGTCATCGAGTAGCGACGGTCCCCTCGCCCCCGTCGCTGGAACCCGCCTAGCTCTGGGCGGGGCCCCGAGGGCGCTCCTCGGACCACTCTCCCCGCACTTCCTTGTCCGGCGCGGGAGGTCCAGCGAAGCAAGGGAAAGCCCTGCCCCGCGGCCCTCCGCTGCCCTCCGGGGCCCGCCCAGGCCGGGAGAAGCGGGGTAGCGGGTGGCGCCCGCCCCACGCACGCACGCACACTCGGGGATTTGTGCATGCCCCTCGTGCCCGCCCTGCACGCCCACCCTCCGCAGCCACTTCCCTCAAATCGCACGCCCACTGGGGGTGGGGGTGGGGGTGGGGGCGGGGCCTGGGCCTGGGAGGTGTTCTTAAGCTCTCACCGTCCTCATCGCCTTTCCCACCTCACTCCCCTCTGACCCCCGGGCTGTCCTTCCCGTCTCGGGAAGGGGCCCAGTGGGATTGAGGGGGGCTGGGTCTCCCAGGACACGGGGGCCCGGAAGAGCCCCATGGGCTGCCTGCATCTTCCACCGCACCTCACGTGGAGCCCTCCAGGGGGTGCGAGGGGAAACAGGCCGCCGCCAAAGCCATGGCCCTCCAAGGAGCCCAAGTCCCGCCCGCCCTTCCCTCACTTCATTCCAGCCTGACCTAAGCCACCTCCCCTCTTCTTTGGCACTGTGTGAGACAGTCCCCTGCTTGCCCATCCTTACCCCCAGGCCTACAAGTCCCTAGGCCCTGCCAGACTGGGGCTGAATTAGGTTGGGAGCGGTGCAGAATGGGTGACAATGACCTTGGCACAATCAACATTAGCCCAGCCAGCTCTGTCCATCTCAACCCAGGGATGGTACAGCTACCTTGGGAGACCCCATGCTGGAGCAAGCCTCAGGGCCCACAGGCCTTGGGAGCAGTCCTGGGTGGACCCTTCACTGCATCCCTGTAGCTAGCTAGGCCCAGGCCTCTCAGTGACACACTTCACCTTGGGCAGGTCTCTCTATAGTAGAAACTGGAAAAGTGGGCCCCAGTCCAGGCTCAGGGTCAGCAGCAGCCAGCTTCCAGCAGCCAGCACACCCTTAGCACCCAGAGGGAGGGAGGGCTCATTTCTAGCCACCCCCACCCCTCCCCAGCTGCCCAAACTTTTGCTTGCCCTATTGGGCTCTGGCCATGATCTGTCAGATCCCAACACTTGGAAGTCCTAGGGGATGCTGGCACATCATGGCAATTGCTGAGGAGGGGGGCTGGGACCCCTTTCCATCCCAACCTTGAACCCCAGGAGATACAGTGCCCACACCTAATCTTGGGACATCCTGCCCACCCACCCCAATCTGGTTGGAAGAGAGTAACCAGTTCTAGAGAGAGAGAGAGAGAACAAGAGATACTATTGAAGCATAGAAACAGTTCAACAGCCCAAAGATCTTCCTGCCCCTGGAGTGCTCGCAGAGGCTCCTGGGCTGAAGTGGTGAGGAGCCAGTTTCTTCAGCCCCTCCCACAGCTCCTTCGTGAGAGATGGCCGCTGTCCATTTGTCCAAAGTATTAATGCAACTGAAGCTGTGATATTTCCAACGACTGTAGAAGGAAAGATTAAGGGGAGAAAGGAAAACAAAACCAACCAACCCCTAAAATCATTTTCTTATTGTACATAATGACCTCATTCTCCTGTATATGCGGAAGATATAACCTTATATTTGGTAAGTGTTTCTTGTGCTATTTTATCACGTGACCTGTTTATAAAAATATATATTAAAAAGGTTGTAAAAACATGTGTCTGAGTTGTTTGTAGGTAATCAGGCTATGATGGGGAAGGTATATCTGCCTGAGGGGCCTATGTCTCTGGATTCTTATGCACCTCTCAACTTCTCAAACTTGTTGTTTTTTTTGTTTGTTTGTTTTTGTTTTTTAATACATTTTTATTGATTTTGTACAGAGAGGAAGGGAGAGAGTTAGAAACATCGATGAGAGAGTCATCGATCAGCTGCCTCTTGCATACCCCCTACTGGGGATATGCCCGCAACCAAGGTACATGCCCTTGACCGGAATCGAACCCGGGACCCTTCAGTCCCCAAGCCAACGCTCTATCCATTGAGCCAAACCAGTTTTGGCTGTTTTGTTTATTTTTTAAATATTTTATTGATTTTTTTACAGAGAGGAAGAAAGAGAGATAGAGAGAAACATCAATGAGAGAGAATAATCAATCAGCTGCCTCTTGCACACCCCCTACTGGGGATGTGCCTGCAACCAAGGTACATGCCCTTGACCGGAATCGAACTTGGGACCTTTCAGTCTGCAGGCCAATGCTCTATCCACTGAGCCAAACCGGTTTCAGCAAACTTGTTAGTTTTTTCAACAAATATAGAGTCTGGGTGCTATGGGGCTGACCAAACCAAACAGGGAAGGTTCCTAAGCTCTCTGGTTCAGGGCAAAAATGAACCTTGTTTTATGCACAAAGTAAATGAGTTAAGAGAGGGGCTGGAGCTAAAACTCCCAGTTTCTTAGATATGGCACCAAAAGCCCAAGCAACAACAATAAAAAATTGGGTTTCATCAAAATTGAAAACTGTGGTTCAAAGGACACTATTAAAAAATGTCAGAAGAGCCTTAGCTGATTTGATCTCTGGACTGAAGGGTCCCAGGTTCAATTCCAGTCAAAGGCACATGCCTGGGTTGCAGGCTTGATCCCCAATGTGTGGTGTGCACGAGGCAGCTGATCAATGATTCTCATCATTGATGTTTCTATCTCCTTTCCTCTCTGAAATCAATAAAAATATATATTTAAAAAGTCAAGAGATAATCACAGAATGTGGAAAAATATGTGCAAAATCATAAATTTACGCGTCCAATATCCAGAATATATAAACAACATAAAGATACTTCTCTGCCTCCCTCCCAAAAAGATAATCAAATTTCAAAATGAGCAGAGGATCTGTATATTTTTCCAAGGGACAGATATACTAATAGCCAAAAAGTACATGAAAAGATGCTCAAGCCCTAACCGGTTTGGCTCCGTGGATAGAGAGTCAGTCAGTCAAGGGCATGTACCATGGTTGTGGACACATCCCCAGTAGGAGAGCTGCAGGAGGCAGCTGATTACTGTTTCCCTCTCATCAATGTTTCTAACTCTCTATTCCTCTCTCTTCCTCTCTGTAAAAAATCAATAAAATATATGTTTTTAAAAAAAGAGGGGCGGGGGCTGGCCCGCCTGGCATGGCTCAGTGGTTGAGCATTGACCTATGAACCAGGAAGCAACAGTTCCCGGTGAGGGCACGAGGGCACTTGCTCAGGTTGCACACATACTCGGGTTGTGGGCTTGATTCCCTATGTGGGGTGTGCAGAAGGTAGCCAATCTATACATGCCCTTACCCGGGTTCTATTTAGGGTAAGAGCATGTATCTGATTGATGTTTCTGGATCTCTCTCCCTTCTTCTCTGAAATCAATAAAAATATTTTTTTTTAAAAAAAAGAGAGGGTCAGGATGTCCTAAAAGGTCACACAATGCAGCAAGGACAGACCAGAACTCCCACCCAGGAGAGAAAGGGAGGGTCATAAAGGGTCATTAACAGGATTGTGTGAACAGACACTCAGGCACTGGAGTTTGTGGAGACCAAGACAAATGTGATCCCTGCCTGATGGAGTCACATTCACATGCCACAGATAATAATCAGTAAACAGACAAGTGGGTTGAACTACCTTCCGCACATCCCACGCTGGGAATCAAGCCCGCAACCCAACTAGGTGTGCAACCAAAGCACGTGCCCTCACCGGGAACCGGAGCTTTCTGGTGTTAGATAAGGTGGTCAGAGAAGGCCTCTGAGAACGGGACCTTAAGCTGAACACTCAAGGGTGGGAAGAAGGCATGTTCTGGAGAGGAGAGCCTAGCACGGGTGGCCGAGAGGCAGGAACTTGGTGAGATGGAATAAAGAATGGAAGTCTCTGTGGATAGAGGTACGCTGAAGAGAAAAAGATCAGGGATTTGGGATTTATTCACCACGTGATGAGGAGTCATGGGGTGCCTTAGTCCGAAGAATAGTACGTACTGCTGTACGGAGTTCAGATCATGGGTAACAGCGGCCCGGGAAGCCTTTAAGAAAACCTACTCTGTTGAAATTGGTTTGGCTCAGTGGATAGAGCGTTGGCCTGCGGGTCTATTCCGGGTAAGGGCATGTATCTTGGTTGTGGGCACATCCCCAGTAGGGGTGTGCAGGAGGCAGCTGATCGATGTTTCTCTCTATCCCTCTTTATTCCTGTGTAAAAAATCAATAAAGAAGAAGAAGAAGAAGAAGAAGAAGAAGAAGAAGAAGAAGAAGAAGAAGCAGAAGAAGAAGAAGGAGGGAAAACCTAGGGTTCCTGGGGTTCCGGGGAAATGAGAAAGGAGGTGGAGAGCACTGTAGGAATTCGGGACTAATTTAGGGATGATGCATAGACTTGTTGACAGACTATGAGGGAAAGATGAGCACTGGTAACAAATACTGAATAAAGAAAGAAAAGAAAAAAAAGAAAGAAAGAAAGAAAGAAAGAAAGAAAGAAAGAAAGAAAGAAAGAAGAAAGAAAGAAAGAAAGAAAGAAAGAAAGAAAGAAAGAAGAAAGAAAGAAAGAAAGAAAGAAAGAAAGAAAGAAAGAAAGAAAGAAAGAAAGAAAGAAAGAAAGAAAGAAAGAAAGAAAGAAAGAAAGAAAGAAAGAAAGAGAGAGAGAGAGAGAGAGAGAGAGAGAGAGAGAGAGAGAGAGAGAGAGAGAGAGAAAGAGAAAGAAAGAAAGAAAGAAAGAAAGAAAGAAAGAAAGAAAGAAAGAAAGAAAGAAAGAAAGAAAGAAAGAAAGAAAGAAAGAAAGAAAGAAAGAAAGAAAGAGGATAACCACTGAGGAGAAACCGGGGGAAGCCCTCTACCTCAGTCCTGGACCAAACCTCCGCCTTCACCAGCGCCTATTCCTCACCCGGAACTATTGTGGTGTGGGAGCTCACTTCCGACAGGGGGCAAGAAAGAGACGTGCTATTTCCTGTGCGTCACTTCCGGTCCAGCCGGGCAGCTTTACTAAATGGTTCGGGTACTCACGGAGGAAGAGGTTTCATCAGTTTCTCTGACTCTGTTCCCGCTGCCTTCGCTCCCTCACGCCACCGCAACCTCGGAGCCGCCGGCGCCTCTTGCCTCCCATCCCGCCAGCCAGATCCTTCAGGCTCCTTAAACATCTCAGCTTGAAGTTCCTCTGGGTGCCCCACGCCCCTGTCCTTCCAAGGCCCCCTCTAGCTCTCTGCTCAGTCCCCCGGAAGCCCGGGAGCCGACTGTGTGGATGGTGGTAACGACCTCACTTTTCTGTTGGGATTGACTGACTAAAGGTCCAGTGACTGCCTAGATCTAAGGGGATGGAAAGGTGGTCTGGGCTGTGACTGACCAGGTAGGATCTTTCCCACAAGTCAGACATGGATTGACCAGCTTCAGGGCAGCCAGAGTGGTGGAACTTGTCCATCAGACTGACTGACCAATGACGGACTGCTCTGGACTGGCTCACCAAGACTGATTAGCTCAGGTTTACGCAGATTTGGGGGATCCAACTAGGGTGAAGGGTTTGAACTGACAGATCTCTTTCCCTTATGGTGACTGACCTGTCTCCACTACCTGTACAGCCAGCTTCACTGACCTCCTGTCTCCACTACCTGTACAGCCAGCTTCACTGACCTCCTGTCTCCACTACCTGTACAGCCATGGAGAAGATGTCCCGTGTGACCACCGCCCTGAGTAGCAGTGCACTAACAGGCCATACTATGCACTGCCACCTGGACGCTCCAGCCAATGCCATCAGTGTGTGCCGCGATGCTGCCCAAGTGGTTGTGGCAGGCCGTAGCATCTTCAAGATCTACGCCATTGAGGAGGAGCAGTTTGTGGAGAAGCTGAACCTGCGTGTGGGTCGCAAGCCTTCGCTCAACCTGAGCTGTGCTGATGTTGTCTGGCACCAGATGGATGAGAACCTGCTGGCCACAGCAGCCACCAATGGGGTGGTAGTCACGTGGAACCTAGGCCGTCCATCCCGTAACAAGCAGGACCAGCTGTTCACAGAGCATAAGCGCACGGTGAATAAAGTCTGCTTCCACCCCTCTGAGGCCCACGTGCTGCTCAGTGGCTCCCAGGATGGCTTCATGAAGTGCTTCGACCTCCGCAAGAAGGATTCTGTTAGCACCTTCTCAGGTGAGGCCCTCGGAGGCAGGTTGGGCAGATATGTGTCTTTGCAGGTGGCTGGACTGTCTAGGCAGGTTAAGATGTGCTGCATGGACCCCTGGCCTGGTGGCTCAGTTGGTCAGAGAGTCGTCCCGTACACCAAAAAGTTGCCGTTGGATTCCCAGTCAGGGCATGGACCTACGTTGTGGGTTTGACCCTCCATAGGGGCACATACAAGAGACAATTGATTGGTTTTTCTCTCTCCCCCCTTCTTTCTATAATAGATAAAAACATCCTCAGGTGAGGATTTAAAAAAAAAAAAAAGCCTTCAGATATATGCTCCCAGAGGGCTTCCTGGGGGAGGGGCCAGCTTAGCTGGACTGAGGGAGTAGGTGGTGGTCAGCAGGGAGGGACAGGCAGGCCTAGTTGAAGTGTGAGGAGTAGCTGGAGTGTGGCTGCAGCTCTGAAGCATCCGAAAGGACAGCTGGGCATTGGACGGAAGGGCAGAGCCTGAGCAGACCTACAGCCAACCTCGGAGGTTGTGGAGATGGTGGTTTCACTGTCTCCTCTTTCCTTGCCTCAGAGCCCCAGGCTGCCTCATTGCAGGAAATCCACTGGGACCTTCAGAGTCCTCAGCCTTGGGATGCAGAGGTGGGGTGCACTGCCTGGTCCCACTGTGGCTCTTTTCCTAACAGGCCCAGCCCTGTCAGTGGTCTTGAGACAGTTCTCCCGTGTCCATCTCAGTGAAACCAAGTGAAGCACAGGGCAGAGTCCTTGGAGAATTGAGGGTGGAGTTCCCTTAAGACAGACCCTGAGCTACCTCTGCTAGGGTAAAAGCTGGACACCGCTCAAAGGCTCTTGGTGTGCCAGTTTATGGCGATGGACATGGACCCGCAAAGCCTCCAGGCCTCTGGAGTTGACCGAGAACTTCAGCTCAAGGTGGAGGGACTGGGCAGAGGCTGAGGCACCCTCATCCATGCCTCCTTCTGGGCCTCAGAACTCGTTGGGGAGTGTAGACAGGTGGTCCAGTGAGCCTCCTGTTCACCCAGTCCTGAAGCTAGGCCACAGCTTTGTACAAGGACTGACATCAGAGAAGAATCCAGGGAAAAGCAAGGTCCAGGAGTTTATATCAGAAACCACCTGATGCCACCCTGCATGGTGTGGATCAGTGGTTAGAGCATAGGCCTGTGCACTGAAGGGTTCAATTCCTGGTCAAGGGCACACACGTGCATTGCAGGTTCCATCTCCAGCCCCAGTTGGGGTATGTTTTGAAATCAGTGGAAAAAAATGTCCTCAGGTGAGGATCAACAAAACAAAAGAAACTGCCCTAACCGGTTTGGCTCAAGTGGATAGAGTATTGACCTACAGACTCAAGGGTCCCAGGTTCGATTCCTGTCAAGGGTATGTACCTTGGTTGTGGACATATCCCCTGGGGGGGTGGGGAGGGGTGCAGAAGGCAGCTGATTGATGTTTCTCTGTCATCAGTGTTTCTAACTCTCATTCCCTCTCCCTTCCTCTCTGTAAAAAATTAATAAAAATGTATTTTTTTAAAACTAAACTAAAAAGAAACCACCTGATGCCTGGTGTCCTGCTCTCCAGCCCAGGCTGTTGTGTCTGTGAGGCCTCGCCTCTTGTCTATTCTAGGCAGGACTCCAAGGGTCCCAGCCACTCCAAGGATTCCCCTCTTGGCCACTCTCTCTTCTGGAACCCCCTGTGGGCTTCACCCCTCACCTCCTCCCACTGACATCCTCCCATAGGCCAGTCTGAGAGCGTGCGGGACGTCCAGTTCAGCATCCGGGACTACTTCACTTTCGCCTCCACCTTTGAGAATGGCAACGTGCAGCTCTGGGACATTCGGCGGCCTGACCGTTGTGAGAGGATGTTCACAGCCCACAATGGGCCTGTCTTCTGCTGTGACTGGCACCCCGAGGACAGGTATAGGGCGGGCTGGGGCAAGGGCAGTAGGACGGGATGGGTGGCACTCATGGAAGCATTCTCTCTCTCACTGCCTCAAGTCCTGTAAGTCAGAGAGTGGGGAACCCTCCCTCCCGCCCCAAGAGAAGAAACTGAGGGCTTCCTGGGCCTTCCGTAGGGGCTGGCTGGCCACAGGTGGGCGTGACAAGATGGTGAAGGTCTGGGACATGACCACTCAACGGGCCAAGGAGGTACACTGCGTGCAGACCATTGCCTCAGTGGCCAGAGTTAAGTGGCGGCCCGAGTGCCGCCACCACCTGGCTACGTGCTCCATGATGGTGGACCACAACATCTACGTGTGGGACGTGCGCAGGCCCTTTGTGCCAGCAGCCATGTTTGAGGAGCACCGCGATGTCACAACTGGCATCGCCTGGCGCCATCCGCATGACCCCTCCTTCCTGCTCTCTGGCTCCAAGGACAGCACACTGTGCCAGCACCTGTTCCGTGACGCTAGCCAGCCTGTCGAGCGTGCCAATCCTGAGGGCCTGTGCTATGGTCTCTTTGGGGACCTGGCCTTTGCGGCTAAGGAGAGCCTAGTGGCCGCTGAGTCAGGGCGCAAGCCCTATGCTGGTGACCGGCGCCACCCCATTTTCTTCAAGCGCAAGCTGGACCCTGCGGAGCCCTTCGCAGGTCTCGCCTCCAGTGCCCTCAGCGTCTTTGAGATGGAGCCTGGCAGTGGCAGCATGAGCTGGTTTGTGGACACTGCTGAGCGATACGCCCTGGCTGGCCGGCCACTGGCTGAGCTCTGTGACCACAATTCCAAAGTGGCTCGGGAGCTTGGCCGAAACCAGGTAGGTGGGGCTGAGGGGGACTGAGGGACCATGACCTTGGGACAAGGTCAGGGGACTCCTTTAACTGCTGCACCCAGCTCCTGCCCCGAGTTCTGCTCACCAACCCTCACCTGCCCCAGTAACTGAGGGTACTCAGGGCCCCAGAACAGAGCAAATACAAGTGCCATCCTGGGGGTACAATTTTGGGGCATCATGAGGCTTAACCCCCCCTAATTCTGGCTCATTCCTGCTCAGACCTCCTAAGGTGTGTGGCCCTGTGTAAGTCCACACTGCCTCTCTCATCATCCCCCTGCGGGGTGAGGCTTATTTCCCCATCAGTCACCTCCCTCAGCTGCTGCTTCTGTGCCCTGCAGGGTGGGGGCTGGGATTTTTTTGTCTTTCCCATGGGCCTTGGTGTCCCTACCTGAGTGGGTCAGGACACTGGGTCCCTGGACAGATGAATGCAGAGAGTTTGTAGTTCCATCCAGGCAAAAGGAGGGCCTGCATGGGACACAGGGATGCAGGACCTGTGAGTGACCAGTGCCTACTCCTAGGTGGCACAGACTTGGACCATGCTACGGATCATCTACTGTAGCCCTGGCCTGGTGCCCACTACCAATCTCAATCACAGTGTGGGCAAGGGCAGTTCCTGTGGCCTGCCACTCATGAACAGGTAGATCCCTGGCGGCGGCTCTCCCAGAGGGTGGGACTGCTGGAGCCTACCCACCTATTAGCCCTCCCTGCCCCCAGTTTCAACCTGAAGGATATGGCCCAAGGCCTGGGCAGTGAGACCCGGCTGGACCGAAGCAAAGGTGACACACGGAGCGACACGGTGCTGCTTGACTCTTCGGCTACACTCATCACCAATGAGGGTAGGCCAGAGGGCAACACAGGGTATTGTTGGGAGTAGGGCCGGGGCATCCCAAAGTAGCCAGCTGTGTACATCCCTCCCTTCCTCTTGGGCAGATAACGAGGAGACGGAGGGTAGTGATGTGCCTGCTGACTACCTGCTGGGCGATGTAGAGGGCGAGGAAGACGAGTTATACCTGCTGGATCCAGATCACGCCCACAGTGAGTGGGGGCTGGGAGGGGCAGAGCTGGGAGTCAGGGCCAGAGGCTCAGACCTTGCCTTCCCGGCCCCTGCCTCACAGCTGAGGAGCCCGAGTACGTGCTGCCCCAGGAGGCCTTCCCGCTGCGCCATGAGATTGTGGACACGCCACCGGGCCCGGAGAACCTACAGGACAAGGCAGACTCGCCGCATGTGAGCGGCAGCGAGGCAGATGTGGCCTCCCTGGCGCCCATGGACTCCTCCTTCTCTCTGGTCTCTGTTTCACACGCACTCTACGACAGCCGCCTGCCACCCGACTTCTTCAGCGCCCTGGTGTGCGACATGCTACGCTTTTATGCCGAGCAGGGCGATGTGCAGATGGCTGTGTCCGTACTCATCGTGCTGGGGGAACGTGTGCGCAAGGACATAGATGAGCAGACGCAGGTTGGTGAGCGGCTGGAAGGAGGGCCTCCCTGCACAGCTGCCTGGGCTGGTACCCAGCATGCTGGGGTAACCCGTGCCCACGACCCTGATCTCTCGCCTCCCTCTGTCCTCCCCGCACCACTAGGAGCACTGGTACGCGTCCTACATCGACCTGCTGCAGCGCTTCTGCCTCTGGAACGTGTCCAACCAGGTGGTCAAGCTCAGCACCAGCCGCGCCATCAGCTGCCTCAACCAGGCCTCCACCACCCTGCACGTCAACTGCAGCCACTGCAAGCGGCCCATGAGCAGCCGGGGCTGGGTCTGCGACAGGTGCCACCGCTGCGCCAGCATGTGCGCAGTCTGCCACCACGTGGTCAAGGGCTTGTTCGTGTGGTGCCAGGGCTGCAGCCACGGGGGCCACCTGCAGCACATCATGAAGTGGCTGGAGGGCAGCTCCCACTGTCCTGCTGGCTGCGGCCACCTGTGCGAGTACTCCTGAAGTGGTCCGGGAGGGAGGAGACGAGCCTGGGCAGGCTTGTGAACCAAATAAAGGAAACGGAACCACGGTCTGAGGCTGCCCTGTCCTCTCATTGAGCAACTCTGTGGGGTGGGAGGACAACGCCCCCGGGAACTGATAGAAGTCCCTAGCAGTTCTGTCTTCCCCCTGCTTTCCGGAGGTAACGCCCCTTTTGGGCGGGCCAAAGGAGGCGCTTCCGGGAACCCTCCGGACGCTAGGCTGTTGCCACGACTACGGAGTTCCCGTCGTGCCTCACGGCGGCGGGCTCATGGCGCCGAGGGTGCACAATCTCCTGCTGCTGGTGCTCTGGACGCAGATGGCTCCCGCCCGGCCCGGCCCCAAAGAAGAAGGCGATGGAGGGTGGTGAGCGGCGCTGGCCGGTTGGGGAGGGGGCGCGCGGCGGGGCGCCCGGGTGGCTGACCGGCTGTGCCCGCAGGCAGCGGCGCGGAGCCGCCCCGGCGGCGGCGGCAGAGGAGCGCTGCACCGTGGAGCGCAGGGCTGACCTAAGCTACGCGGAGTTCGTTCAGCAGTACGTGCGCCCTCCCGATGCCGCCCCACCTCCCGCCCAAACCCATCCGGGAGCGCCGTCACCCCCCTATTTGCCTGCTGCGCACCGGGATCCCCGGGATCTCCTCTTGAACTCCTGTGGGGGCGGGAACAGGGATGTGTCAGGCCCAACTTAGACTCTGCCGCTTCTTCTAGCTACGCCTTCTCCAGACCTGTTATTCTGCAGGGACTCACCAACAACTCGGTGAGTACTGGTTCCTCTCCTGGCCACCTCTCCCCGTGTGGGGCCAGACCCTTAAATACTCTCTCCACCCCCATTCCCCAGAGGTTCCAGGCCCTGTGCTCCCGCAAAAGGCTGCTGGCATTATTTGGGGACAAGGTGATTCGGCTGAGCACTGCCAACACCTACTCCTACCAGAAAGGTGAGTTGCCCCACCTCACAGCCAGCCTGCTTAACAGCATCCTGGAGGCAGCATCAACCAGTCCTGCCCGGCCCTTTCCCCGCAGTGGACCTACCCTTCCAGGAGTATGTGGAGCAGCTGCACCCCCAGGACCCTACCTCCCTAGGCAATGGTGAGCCCTTGGGCTGGAGGCAGTGGGTTGGGGTGGCACTTGGGAGTGCCCAGGTGCCAGGACCCCTGCTTCCTCCCATTTTTTGCTGGCAGACACTCTGTACTTCTTTGGGGACAACAACTTCACTGAATGGGCATCACTCTTTCAGCATTACATCCCACCCCCATTTGGTCTGCTAGGTACTACTCCTGCCTACAGCTTTGGGATCGCAGGTGGGTGCCTTACAGGACCAGGGGATTTGGGGGATGGGGAGTGCAAATTGGGTTTGGTCACTTGCTGCTCATAACTAACTCCACAGGAGCTGGCTCTGGGGTGCCCTTCCACTGGCATGGGCCTGGATTCTCAGAAGTGATCTACGGACGAAAGGTCAGCATAGGGTTATGGCTGAGACTTCTGGCTCATTGACCACAATACAAAGAGTGACCTTGCTGCTCCCACCCCCAGCGCTGGTTCCTATATCCCCCTGAGAAGACACCAGAGTTCCACCCCAATAAGACCACTCTGGCCTGGCTCCAGGACACCTACCCAGCCCTGACACCATCTGCACGGCCCTTGGAGTGCACCATCCAGGCTGGTGAGGTCAGTGGTTGTTGGGGGAGGGGGGTGTCAGGCTGGGGGGATTGAGGCCCCTCCCAGCCCCACCCTTGCTAATCTCTCTGCCCCACCCAATCCAGGTTCTGTATTTCCCTGACCGATGGTGGCACGCCACACTCAACCTCGAAACCAGTGTTTTCATCTCTACCTTCCTCAGCTAGCCAGAGCGGGCAGCTGGCGAGCCCAGTCTCACACCAGCACACATCCCTATACTGCTCACAGGTTTTATTACAAGGACAGTGGCAGTGGCAGCAGCCTCTGCCCGAACCACCACAGCCTGCTGTTACAGGCCCAGAAGGGAAATGGGGGACAGGGAGTGGGAGGGCTCATGGCCTACCAACAGAACTGATAGCAGATGGGATGGGGACACCAAAGTAGGGATCCAGGGACACAAACTATATACAGGAGCAGAGGGGGGGCCCTGCCCCAAGGCCCTCCTGGGCCCGGGTGCCAGGCAAGAGGGGCAGGTTGCCCTCCCACTTGCTGTGCCTCAGTAGTCCTCCACCCAGCCATTCTCAGAGATGAACGCATCGATGACCTCTTTCATGGCCAGGTTGGGGATGAGCTGTTCCTGCGTCAGAGGGCTCCGGGTCACAGGGTCAAAGTGGCCCACACGCTGCAGCGACAACAGAGTCAGAAAGTGTTTGGTGGGCTGGGGCCCTGCCCCCAGCACCCCTGAGCCCTCACCTGCAGGTGCTCCTCAATGTCCTTACGGTCATAGGTGATGCCGCTGGGCGTGATGCACGGCTCGCGCATCAGCTCGAAGCTGATTTTGCCACACAGATAGTCCGGGATGTCTCGCTTCTGCGTCACAAGGGTCAGGGGTCAGGAAAGGGACACTCCTACAAGTTCCTACTACCTGCAGGCCCTAGAGAACAGCCAACTCACCTTTCTCTTCTCGTCCACCTGGGAGAAGAGGTCATCCATGTCTGCTAAGTACTTGTCCTGCAAATAACCAAGCAGCCATGCATGGGCCAGACTTCCCTTCTCCCTTCCCGACTCAGACACACACAGGAGCCAGGGCACCCTCACAAAATGTGCACACAAACACAAGACCCACACGTGGGCCGGGGCACCCTCACGTGCTTGGCCTCGATGCAGGCCTGCTGGGCCCGGACGTGGCCATCATCCTCATCACCCTCATGGTTCCGCTGACATTCTTCCAGCTCCCTGGGGGTTGACCGGGAGCTGGTCAGAGACAGAACTGGCCAGGAAAGGTCAGACTCCACCCCAACCTCAGGTTTGTTCAGGCCTTGTCCCCTTCTCTTCTGTCACCAGGGTTAGCCTTCAATAAACATTTGTGTTCATAACAAAGTGGTGACTTGTTGGGGGGGGGTAAATGGGGGGGAGGGGGGGTTCCCAGAGTCTGTCATCACAGCCCACCTCTCACGCTCGGCCACAATGAGTCTCGTGAGGTAGGAGTGCAGCTCATTCTCCTGGTGGATGCGCCGCTCCTCAATGCTATTCCAGCGCTTCTTCTTGGCGATGCGCAGAGCGCTGGGGATGTCGTCCCCAAAGTTGAGTCGCTGCTCCTTGGCCAGGTTGTAGGCTGGGGGAACAGGCTTCTGGTCACCCTTTGGCCAGTCCACCCACCCGGTCCCAAGGACCCCCTTAACCAGCCAGCCTGCAGACCCACCTCGCTGCAAGTTGGCAATGGCCTCATCATAGCTCTCCATCTCCAACTGGCACTGCCCCAGGAAAAAGTGTGCCTTAACAGACTGCCCATCCAGCTCCAAGGCGCGCCGGCAGTCCGCCAGGGCCTGCTCGTGCTGCTGCATCTTCAGGTAGCACAGTGCCCGGTTGGTGTAATACACTGCCACCAGGGGATTCCGGGTCTGGGGACCAAGGCAGGCCAATCAGCAGGAGGGAGTGAGCTCAGCCTGCCCCCTCTGTCCCAGGCCTTGTCCTGCCCTTGAGGTCCATGGTTGAAATCAAGACACTAAGAGGTTTTACAGCTTCAAAGCCTTTGAGGCCTGAGGATGGGTGGAGGGTGGTGAGGCCTGCCTGAGCCCTCTCAACTCAGCAGGTTTTGTAAAGCTAAGTTTACCAGACTCCGGAGGTCCCCAGCTTTGGACTGGGATCCCGGGCCCTGCCGGCATCAAGCGCCCTAAAGCTCCCTCCCGACCATAGGTCTCCAGCAACCAGCACTGGGTTCAAGAATCTCGGCCTTGGCACCTTTGCAACGAGATCATCGAGTCCTCAGAGCCTAAGTGCTCCTTCCCCGTCAGAACCAAAACCCTCCTAAAGACCGAAAAGGGCGGCCGAGCAGGCCCGGCCCCACCCCCTCCTCTGGCCCGGACGCCGGTCCCCTCCCCCGGCGCCGGTGCACTCACGATGGCGCGGCCGTAGCAGGCCGCCGCCTCCGGGTACTTGCGGCCCACGAAGAGCCGGTTGCCCTGCTCCTTGAGCTCCTGCGCGCTCGGGCTCTTCTCCGGGCTTCCGCCGGCTGCGCCCAGCCGCGCGCCGCCCTCCTTCTCCTCCTTGCCCTTCATGGCGCCGCGCGGCACGGCCCGGGACCCGCTCCCAGACTCAGTGCCCGGGTCGCCCAAGCCCGCAGCCCGAGCCCGAGATCCGCTCGGGCCCGGTCCAGCGATTCGCCACCGGAACTTCCGGTCGCATGGGGCGGAGTGAGCAGGACGGAACCGTGCGAGCTGGTGGGCGGGGCCGCGCCTGCGCGCGTAGCTGTCGGGGGCGGGACTTATGGGCTCGGGGGCGGGGCTACGTGAGCTGCGGCGTCGCCGGGGGTTTGCACCGGGAAGCTCCGCCCCTCGCGTGCGGGGGTCGTCCTTCCAGGAGACGGCCCCGCCCACTCCCCAGGCCGCCCACGCCCACCAAGGCCCGGCCCGGCGCGTGGAATTGGCGGCCGCCCGCGGGCTGGGGGGCCGAGAGGACCCGGGCTGCTGGCGCACCATGGAGAGGGCCGCGGCCGCGCGCGGGGTGACTGGAAGTCCTGGACCTATGGTAGGGCACGGGGCCTCGGTGCCCAGACTCCGGCACCGCCCCTCCCCAGGCATCCAGAGGATTTCCCCGTGGGCATCGAGGTCGGAGCGGAGCACGAGGCGCGTGGAAGCTGGCGGTGAGGGGCTTCCACGTGAGGGGCTTCCACGTGGGTGGCAGAACGTTGGCGGGCGGGCCCGCCTCCTGGTGTCGGGGCTTCCTTTTGGCGGCCGCCCCTTGCGCCGTGGGGCGGGGCTTCTTGTGGGGCATGCCCTCCTGTCGAGGTCCACCACCAGTGACCATTCCGCCTCCCCCATCTCTGCTGCTCAGGGCCGCTGCCACCTGCGCCTGCAGCAGCTGGTGACCCCAGAGCTGGTAGTAAAGCCCTGGGTCGCCGCCTCCCTCCACGGCCTCAAGGTTAGTGGGAGAGCTGGTTATATGGGCGGGTCACAGGAGGGACCAGCTAGTGACTTTGCGAGATGAACCCCTGGTCACGTCCATGGCATGGAGGGTCATTGATAATGGCCGCCCCCACCGAGGTTGTTGGGACACTGGCGGGTCTGAATGCTAGCCTTTCACTCCCCCTTCCCACCCCCACCCTTACCTCCCACCCCGTCTTAGCTGTTGCAGCTTCTGAGGGGGCAGCTTTCATGCCCAATGAGGCAGTGGACCCAGGGCCTGGCCTGCCAGCCCTGCAGTATACTTAAGGTACTACCCGCTGTACCTGGACCAGGTGTGGAAGCGTGCCACAGCCCAGAGCCGAGGTGAGGGGACGGTTGGTAGGCTAGAAGGACATCCAGGACTCCCGTCAGGATGGAGTGTACAGAGCTGTTCCGCAGGACAGGATGCCCTGGGCCCCAGACTCCCTGCGCGCCTCCCAGGCAGGGCCTTAGGGCTGTGGAGAGAGCACTATGGACCTGGGCTGTGGGGTAGAAGCTGTGCCCCAACCTGCGTCCTGACCTCAGTCCTAGCCTAGCCATCCCTGAGGGTACCAGGCCGGCCGGGAAGTATAGGACCCAGTCCGACTGAACTTGACTGTGGCCTGCTCACCTGCCAGGTGACTGTAGGAGCTCAATAAATGCTTGCTGAACTCACTCCAGACCATGAGGGCCACAGCCCCTCTCCAGGGGCTCCCACTTCCCACACAGACATCCCTCATACGCCTGCAGAGGAGCAAGGGGGAATCCAGGCTGCCCACATGGAGGGAAGAGCCCTCACAGTCGGCTCATTGGGCCAGCCCAGCCCCCAGAGCCCCATTACAGCTACCTGGTGTTGCGTAAAATATTTATTTATTCTCCAAAAAGGCTCAGACTGCAAGTGTTGGAGGGAGACCAGGATAGCGTTCCTCTGGGACCACCCTTGGGACCTCCACCACCCAGCCTGACCCAGCAGTCCTAACCCCCCGGGCCTCAGAGGGGGGCCAGGGCTGGTGTAAGGCTTGGTTTGGACTCAGTAGGCCACAGGGGCCACCTGCCTTCGTGGGAGAAGCAGCCTGAAGACATACTTTCACAGAAGGTGGGCATGCAGGCCACGCCCTAGCCCATGTGGCCTCCAGGAGTCCCTCAGGGTGGTGGAGGGATGTGGGCACCCAGCAGGTCATAGGCGAAGATGTTCCAGAAGATGGCGAAGAGCAGGAAGGTGCCATAGGCGAGCAGCACCACCCACCAGCCGCACTGGTCCCGAAGGCGTTCCTCGTAACTGCGCAGGATGGTCAGGCCCATGCTGACGCCCACCACTGCTCCGGCCAGGTGCGCCATGAAGCTGGGCTGCGGGCCCGAGGCCGGCAGTGGCGGGGAGAAGCGCAGCCACACGGCCCGGCCCACCTCCGAGCTCACTGCGGAGGGAGTTGGCACATGGGAGGCACCCTGGCCCTGGGCTCGGTTCCCCGCCCGCCTCCGGCCCCCTTCGTCCCCACTTACTGCACACCAGGGCCAGCACCATTCTCAGCAGCTTGTAGGGACACCTCATCCCAGCCCAGTTCTGATGGGACATGAGACAGGCGGTGAGGCAGGCCCCGGGGCCCCTCCCCAGCCCACCCCGGTGGTTTCATTACCATGACGACATTGGCCAGGTGTGCAGAGCACAGGGCGTAGACTCCGCCAGAGCCCCCCACCACCGGGGCCCGCATGTCAGTGATGGAGACAGTCAAGGAGCCTGTGTGAAGCAAGGGGACGGCCGTGAGGCAGCGGCCTTCCGGCGAGGTGGCCGGGGGCTGTGCGCCCGCCTCACCTGCCAGCACGCCGGCCAGGTAGAGCAGGCTGATGCGGAGCAGGCCGTGCACCATTTCCAGGGGCACCCCAATCATCAGCTGGAGGAGCGCGTTGAACCCCAGCTGCTCCAGCCTGGTCACAGAGAGGCAAATGGGCATGATGGGTGTGGTCGATCATCAGGCTCCCAGCTGCAGCCACTCTGAACTTGGGGGCGCCAGAAGGGGGCCTCACTCACCCAACGTGCATGAACATGTAGGTGAGGAAGCGCCAGGCCCGTGCTCGGTGCCCGGGGTGGTACACCAGAGGGCTCTTCATGTACTCCGGGTGGTAGGTCTGCAGCACCCACTTGTTGAGGCGGGCCCCATAGCACAGGAACACGATGATCTAGGAGAGGAGGGCGTCAGGACTGGGCCAGGCTGGGGATGTGCGTGGCAGGAGGGGGTAGGCTCACCTGGGCCAGAGTGACGGAGGCCATAAACACGGGGGGCGGGCAGCTTCGGTGCCGGTAGAAGTACCAGTGGCGGTCCACCTCTCGGGGCAAGATCTCGTAGGCCACGTAGCGCACAAACCGCTTATAGACGCCCAGGCCCGGCTCGTCGAGCAGCCCGTCCCGGGGCAGTGCCCGCTGTCCGTTGGCAATGGCCCGCTTAAAGCTGCTTGAGCGCTTGCTGCTGATCTGGGGGAGCAGGGCCTGAGCATGGGACATCGTACTACCCCCACGGCCTCTGTGCCCACCTGGTCTGCCCAGCTCCGCACAGGGTTTGGAACCCTGCTCCAGTGGGAGGTGAGGAAAGAGGGGCCACCTGCCCACCCAACTCCAGCCAGGCACTGTGCAGGCCAAGGCCTGGGCCCCCCACTCCTGTTGCCCACCCACTTTAGCACTGACCAGGTCCACCAGCTCCTGGTAGCAGACCTGGCCCCGCTCGTTGCTCTGGGCCAGGGCCACCAGCATGTCCAGCTTGGCTGGATCCAGGGGTAGCTCATGGCTGTGCACCAAGCCCGTGAAGGTGTCTGCACCGATGAAGCCCGTGTTCTCAGGGTCCAGCTGCTGGGGTGGGGGTGGAGGAGGTGATGCTGGCCAAGGCCTGAGAGCGGACCAGACCCACAGACCAAAGGCTGCCCCAAACCAGCTGGAAAAGGCAGTCTCCCAGCACCCTGTGCCCACGTGGTCTCAGGAGCTGCCAGGGAATCGGTTCCTGAGTCCCCAAGCCTCTAGGGGTCTCCTCACCTCATTTTGGCTCTGTCCATCCTGGGAAGGATAGGGCTGAAGTCTAAGGACTGTTACCCCCGCCCCTTGCCCCTCCTGGGGCACCCTGGTCTGGCTCACCCCCTCCTGGGGTCTCAGGCAGCGGGGCAAGGTCGTGCATGAGAGGGTTTGAGGAGTGGACAGGAGCGGGGGTTGGGCTGAGGCTCTTCCAGTTCCATTTCCCCGCCCAACCCAGCGGCAGGGGGCAGTTCCCGAGCCCCTCTACCCCAACGCACCTGCTCCTGGATAAGCTGCAGCAGCGAGCTCCTGTCCATAGAGCCGGGCCGGTCCGGGGTCGACGGCCAGGCCGGGAGGGGCTGCGCTGCGGATGCCTCCGCTCCGCCCCGGCCCGTGCGCTCCGCCCACTCCGCCTGGCGCCGCGTCACCGAGTCGCCCGCCCGCCCCCGCCGCCGCACGCGTGGCCGGGACACGCGCGTGCCCTGCACGCGGACGCGCTCCGGGATGGTGATGGCCCGGCCAGTGTCCCTCCCTCCACCGGCTCAGCACATGCGGGCTTCCCCAGCCTCGCCCCCGCGCCCTGGCAGAGCTCCATGACGGAGCCGCAGCTTCTCCTCCTGACGGGACAGGTGTGGAAACTGAGCCACAGGCGGCAGCCAAGCCCCTGGCATCCCTTCTCCCGAGATGGGGCCTCAGTACCCACACAATCCCCTTGGGGAAGCCTCCCTGGACCACCCACCACCTGATTCCCCAGGCGGCGGCTCCCTGAAAGCGTCTGCCCGCCAGAGTGCTGATCAAGGCGCCCCCGATGGGTGCCAAGACTGCCGGGGCTGTTCGTGAAGGGCAGAGGCTCCTGCATGCTCTTTGCAGACCAACCCCAGCTCACATCTCTGACTGGAGGCCCTGCAGCCACAGGCCGGACAGTGACAGTGGAGAGGACAACCCCAGGAGGGCACTGGGGAGCCCAGCAGTCACAGCTATCAGGGCGGAGACCAGAAGGACAAGGCTGCAGCTGAGATAGGAAGGGATCCATTTCCTGGGAAGGCAGGTAGAGCTCTCCAACAGCAGAGGTTACAGACCAGGAATGTGTTACCACAACAGAACCCCAATGCCATGGAGCCATCAATCCCAGCAGCCCAGCCTCAGGATAGAGCCCAAGTGAGAACGACACCTCTGCAGCTGCAAGAACAGCAGGACAGTGACGATATGACCAAGAGTCTTACTCCCTCCTCTGGCTGGTGTGACTCAATCGCTGAGCATGAACCAGGAGGTACCAGTTTTGTTTTTTAGGGGGGGTTGTTTTTTTAAAATATATTTTATTTTTTTTACAGAGATGGAGAGGGACAGAGAGCCAGAAACATCAATGAGAAACATTGACCAGCTGCCTCCTGCACACACACACACACACACACCCAGCGGGAATGTACCTGCAACCAATGTACATGCCCTTGACTGGAATCAAACCTGGGACCCTCCAGTCCGAAGACTGACGCTCTATCCACTGAGCCAAACTGGTTTCGGCTAAGATACCAGTTTTGATTCCCGATCAGGGCACATGCCCAGTGTTGGGGGCTTGATCCCCAGTATGGGGAGTGTAGGAGGTAGCCGATCAATGACTCCCTCATCAATCATTGATGTTTCTATCTCACTTCCCCTGCTCCCTTTCTTACTGGAATCATATATTTTTAGTCTGACCCCAGAGCCTGCTGGGTCAGGCCTGAGCAGGGCAGGTTACTCCCCGCCAACTCCCAGGACAGCAACTGGATGCTCTGGGAGAAACCTGGGTGTGGGAGCTGTCTTGCATGGAGTGATTGACGGCAGGAGGGGCACCTGCCTTGGTAACCAGGGTCTTTCAGTCCCACCATGGGCTGCCTCTGCCCCAGGTCCCAGAACACTGGCCAAGGAAGCACTTGGGCAGGTGCCGAAACATAATCCCAAGTAGAGCCTCCCAAGAAGCCCCCTCCCCTCAGGCTGGCATCTCTTCCTGCCGCCCACCCAGTGAGTGTCAGGCCTCTGGTCAGGGTGTGGGGACAGGGCAGCTCCCCCGACACCAGCTGCCACCCTGTACCCAGTTCCACCTCAGAATCCCAGCTCCTCTCCACAGCTCGGGCGGGCTGCCAGGATGGATGCAGAGGTTTGGGAAGGAGGCAGGCCACGTCAGGAAAGCATGGACCTCAATGGGTGGCTCCCAGGCTGCAGCTGACCCACAACCGGAACCTCATGTGGGCCTGTTTGCCGCCTTGGGCCTGGAGGGGAGGTGGGGGGTCGGGAGGGAAGTTTCTAGTCCACAGAGGCAAAGGACGTGATTAAGAGCCACCTTCAGAAAGCAGGGTCCAAGATGGAAAAGAGACCGAAGTTTAATCAGGAAACCCAACCTCACACCTTCCACGAGGGATGCAGCCCTGGGCCAGTTCCCCAACGATGGAGCGGGGAGGAGCACTTCCTGCCCCACCTCCTGCCCGTGGCCCAAAGCTCTGCCCTCCAACTCCCCTCAAACCCCTGGCTGCCTGGGACCAGGAGTGGGTGGAGCCCTGAGGATTCAGATCTAGGACCACTGGCTTCTCACCTATACCCCCTGTCTCTCCAACGCGATGCCCACACAGGCAGGTGGTGCTGGGCAGGCACAGGCTGGCAGGATCTGGGGCCCACCTTTGGGGCTGGGCAGTGAGTAGGCTGTCCCCAGAAGCAAAGTGTAGACAGAAGGGAGCTCCACCGAGTGGGTGGCCCAACAACAGCACCCTGGGGCCCTGAGATCAGACTGCGGGCACCAGGCCTCATCGGCTCTTCACCAGGACTCTGTAGAGCGAGAAGCTGAGGATGGCAGCAACAGCAGCCCCAAAAGCCCCCAGGGTCACCCGGAGCCAGAAGGAGGTGGTGTGCAGCTCCCCGTGGGCCAGGTACCTGCAGGAGAAAGGGGCTGGTTGGAGGCACTCTCAGGGTGCTGTCCAGAGCTTGCTGCTGTACCCCCATCACCACCACCACCCCAATCTCCTGGAAAGTCACAGAGCTGCTAGCGGTCAGTGGCTAGCACAGAACTCCCAGACCACAGGGCAGCTGGTGAGACCAGACCCCAGAGGGCCCTGTCAGGACCTCAGCACCTGACCAAGGTCCACCCTGCCACCTGAATGACTCCAGTCTGACACCCCCAGTCTGACACCCCAGCTGTTCCCCTCTCCGGGGACAGGGACCATCAGTGCTGGGACAGGGACAGGCCTTCCACCACAGGGGCTGCGGAGCTGGTACCCACGGGAAGGTGGCCATGGTGGCAAGCCGGGTGAAGACAGCTGTATTTGGCTCTCCTGGGCCAGCACAGGAGAACGGGGCAGGGGCAGGCAGCCGGTGCCTGCGGCAGAACTCAGCTGGGGACAGCCCGGGCAGCGCAACACCTTCAGGCAGGTCGGCCTTGGAGGAGACGAAGAGGCAGGGGGTCTGCCCATCCATGTAATGGCGCTGCAGGGGAAGGGGCCACGTGATACACGGTCCCGGAGCAGGCAAGGAGAGGGTGCTGGGGCGCCACCACTCAGCCAGGCTGCCCACAGGAGGGTGGGGGAGGTGGCAGCTTGCCTTGTAGACGTTGGTGCAGAGTGCAAAGGACTGGGGGTCACTGCCATCAAACATCAAGCAGGCGACGTCACAGGCAGCATCCGACGCAGTGGACAGCAGGCTGTCTGCATCCACCTCACATAGCTGGACAGAGGGTGGCCTCAGGGAGACGCAGGGAGCTCAATTCCCCAGGCCACATTGGGACAGCACCGCCCAGCATGCACCCGGGATCTACTTCAGGGACCCCCGACCCCAACACTCACTATCAGGTACTTTTCCTGCCCGTTGACCTGCACCGTGTTGATGGCATAGATGGCAGATGTCTGGTGGAGCTCCTTGGTGTCCTAACATCGAGGAGGGAGGTACCTGAAACTCACTGGCCCTGATGCTCCCCAAAGCCCTGCCCCACCCCCAAGGCCCTAGATGGGAGCGGGGTCCCCTCCCCCGACACACGGTGATGCTCACCCCTAGGCCTCGGCCAAGGAAGGCCTGCAGGAAGGCAGACTTGCCCACGCCACGCGCTCCCACCACCTTGCATAGAAGGACATTCCTGTGCGTCTGTCCCTTCTCCTGGTCCAGCCTCTTCTCACGGGTGACTGTGAGGATGGAAAAGACAAGAGTAAGCGGCTGCCAGGGAGCAGCTGGCCAGATCCCGGGAGGGTGGGCACCCACCTGTGATGGCATGAGTCTGGGAGTCCTGATTGCAGAGGGTGGGGTAGCCCAGGTAGCCGAGGTGCTCCAGGCAGCGCCGGACATCCAGGTAAGTCACCAGCCTGGGGCATGAGGGGCACAGGGGGCGCGGTCAGCATCATGAAAAGGCCACACTGTCTGCTAAGCGGGGCAGGCCGGGGCTGCACTCACGTCCACTGGCAGAGGTACCCGTGCAGCGGCAGCCGACCTGCTTCGGTTTGGACTTCTTGCAGGAACTGAGGGCCCCAAGGGGGTGCTGGGGACACGCTGAACAGGTCCTGCAGCTGTGCCAGTGAGAGGGCTCCATCACGGTCCTGCAGGCAGAGGGGCTGTGGTGACACTGCTGGGGGCCAGGACTGGAAACCAAGACAGGCAGCACGGCAGGGGGACAGCGCCCTCACCTGGTCATGCTTCTCAAACACCCTCTGCACAAACTGGTAGCCAAAGTGGTTGAGTTCCGTGCTGCAGCCAGGGGGCACGTGAAGCCTGTGGGGTTGCCATCCCGTTTCCACCACGCTCAGAGGGTGCAGTCCGACCCTCCCTGCCAGTCTGACTGAACCCCAGAGTTCCTCCAACTCTCTCCCTCAACTGAGCACCACAGCAGAGAAGCAGGCAGGGATGTGGCTGGGGCCAGGGGCCACCTGCCCAGCATTAAATCCCAGTCTGCCTGCCCACAGCAAGGTGCCTCCTGCACAGGCCACCCTCCACCTGGGCAAGGACTCCAACACCACCACCCCCGCCCCCCGAGCACCATCTAACCCTGAGAGCCCACCCACCACTCACGGAGGGAAGAGGTAGTCGGTGGTCAGCTCCAGCGTGTCGCCATAGCCGAAGCGCCGCAGGATGGTCCACGTGGTCTCATGGCGGCCGCGCTGGATGAAGAGCGTGTTCAGGAAGAGGAAGCCTGTTCAGAGAGAAGCAGAGAAGGTGACGCTGGGTGTTACCTGAGCCTCTCCCCACACCAGGAGGACAGGCAGGGCACCAGGGCTCACCGTCCAGGGTCAGCCGGTCATCCCGCACCCCTCCTGCCACGTTCTTGCGCACCACCATCTTCACGTCCTCCAGGGCTTGTGGGGCCAGGGGATGCCCGAAACAGGATTTCTGCCTCCAAGAGAAAGTTGCTGCCAGTGAGCGGCTGCCTGGTCACTAACGGCGTGGGGTCCAGCTGCAGCCAAAAAAGGGGGGGGCACTCCCGAGAGGTGGAGGGGCCCCACCTGGAAAGCATTGAGCTCCTCGTCGCTGAGCGCCTGGTCCAGGTCCTGGTCCGAGAGCCTGAAGATGCGTGTGAGGGCCTGGGCGCACGCAGGCTTCAGCTGTGGGGACAGCCAGCTCAGCACGTTCCCCAGCCCCACCTGCTGGCCGCCCCACCCAAGCCAGCCGCTCACCTGCTTGGTCTCAGGGTCATAGAGCGGAGCGGTGGGGTGCAGCACAGCCTTCTGGGCGTAGTAGAACAGCTCTGAGATGTTCCTCAGGTTCTTGGCCGAGCACTGGGGACCACCGGGACAGACTCAGAGAGTGCCCGATGCTGGAGACTCGAAGGCGCTGGCCCAGGGGGTCGGCAGCCCCCGTCCCACAGAAGTCCTCAGTAAGAAAGCTTGTCTGTCTTAGGTCCCAGGCCACCAGCACGTGAGTGCTTGCTGCAGGGCCTTGGCCTGGCCCTTCTCTTCTCCACCCCGGTGCCCCCTGCCTGGCCCTGCTGTGCACGCCTGCTTACCTCCACACAGGTCTCAATCTCAGGGAACTGGCTCATGATGGGCAGCACAGCCTCCATGGAGCTCCCTGGCCGCAAGTCTGACTTGTTGCCCACCAGGATGATGGGGACCCTGGAGAGAGGCCCACGGTCACCAGGGATGAGGGAGCTGGAGGAGACCCATCAGCCCCTTGGGCACTGTCCATTTTACCTGGGCCCCTCCTCTGTCCCTCCATTCACCAGGGGGATCCATTTGGTGCGGATCTGAAAGGCAAGACCTGGCATGAGGGGAGGGAGCTGCCCAGCCCACACCTCTCCGATGGAACTGAGCCGAGAGAGACGGGGCAAGTTGAGGGCCGCAGGCACGGTCACTGGGAACAAGGGGAGAAGGCACCTTGCAGGTGTGACTTTATCTGATGCTAGCAGTTTCCAAACACCCCCCAGGAACCTGGGTCAGCAGTTCAGGATAGTCCCTCTGCAAGCCCAAGTGGCTTACACTCATGGCTGCTCATGCTTTCTGCAGGACGGGGTCACAGGGAGCTCCCTGTGGAAGATGTGGGGGCCTGTGGCCAAGAAGCTCCCCCAAGCGCCCATTAGAGATGGGGTTGGCCACGGGGGTGAGTCACCCAAGCACATGCCTCAGCTGGGCATCCCCCTGGGGTCCGAGCAGAGAACAGAATGACGACCAACTGGGTGACAGCGGCAGGAACCCAGGACCCTCACTCACTCTCTCGCTCACCTTCTCAATGGTGGCCTCCTCAGACACGTCGTACACCACACATACCACATTTGCCTGTTGGGGAGGGCAAGTGGCACAGCATTACCAGAGGCTTCCTGTCTACACCACCCGGCACTCACAGGCAAGGCAAGGCATGGCTCAGAGACTAGGAAGCCATCCTTCACTGGTGCTCCTCAGCCAGTGCTCCTCGGCAGTGTCACTGGGATGGATGGTCATCTGCTGTGCAAATCTCAGACGGCCCTTCCCCGCGCACTTCCAGGTGCCAGCACCGAGACTCTGGTCAGTGAGTCCCCTGAAGGCTCAGGGCATGCACAGCCACCCCAGACACTTGGTACCCCAGATCTGGCCTTGGTCCTTCACTCCTGTCCCTTTGGGCAGAAAAGATGCCGAGAACAGCATGCCAGGACACAGCAGAAGCCGCAGAGGGACAGGGCAAGGCTGCGGGGCAGCTTCCTCCCAGGGGCTTGGCCCAGACACATGTCCCCCTGGTAACAGGTGAACAGAGGGCAGTGCAGCCTGCAACCCGGGTCACTGCGCCTCGGCTCAAAGGCCCAGAGTAGTGGATTGCTCTACAGGGTGGGGGGTAGGTGGCCGAGGCACAGGGCTGTTTCAGGGGTCATTTTGAAAGATAATGAGATCTGTCCCCCAGTGTCCAATGCTGGGTGGAGAGCCATGGGGTTGGCCAGCCGTGTGGGGAGGAGGAGGAAGGAATGATCCCTTGTCTCCCCAACTCCCAGCAGGGTGCATCACAGTAACCCTAACAACTTAGTCCTGAGAGGTCATGGAAGAATTAGCGAGGCTGAAGAGGCTCTGAGCACCTTAATCCGGCCCTCAGAGAGAGAAGCTGATCAGAACTAGGCAGCCGCTCACACCGCGCCCCCCCCCACCAGCCTGAGCCTCGCCCCCCAGGGAGGGGGCGACCCTCCCTGAGCCCCAGAACACACTGCACCTTGTTAATCTCGTCCTGGAGCTCCTCCACCGTCTGCTCAGCTTCTGGATGAGAAGGAGAGACGGCACTGCAGACCTCCAGCCCGAAACGCGGCTCCAGGGCAGGACGTGGGGCGGGGCGGGGCGGGGGCGGCTCTACCTGAGGAATCCACGATGTGCGTGGGCACCTTCTCCGGGGTGACGTCCGCGGGAATGGTGATCTCTTCCGCCCGGGGCGGGACCTGAAGCACACTGGCCGTGAGGGTGGCCCGGGGCGGCGGTAGGACCGCCCCGGGGCCTCAGTCCCTTCCTCTGCGCGCCCGGCACCGCTCGGCACCGCCATCCTCACCTCTTCGGGGAACTCCTCGCCCACCAGCGACAAGATGAGAGACGTCTTCCCCACCTGGGCTGCGCGGGACGGCGCGGTCAGCGCGGCGGCCAAGGTCGCGGCGCCCCTCCTCCCACAGGACAGGCCCGGCCCGCCCCCGGCGCCTACCCTCGCCCAGCCCGACCCCCGCCCGGGCGCCTACCCTCGCCCAGCAGCAGGATGCGGACGTCCCGCTTCATAGCAGCCGACGCAAGTCCGGCCGCAGCACTTCGGGAGTCCTCTGCCCACGCCGCCGCCCCCAGCACGCACTTCCGGCCCCGCCCGCGGGGCCGCACCAGCGAGCCCGGCGGGCCAGAGAGGCCGGGGTGCGCGGCAGTGCCACCGCGTGGGCGCATCCGGCATTGCTGGCGCCGCGCCGGCCAGGGGGCGGGGCCACGGCTTCGGGTGCCACTAGGCCCCAGCAGTTTCCCGATGGGGCAGGACCAGCCCACCCTGGGCAGGATAGCCCTTGCAGGTGGACTGGCCAGGGCCTCAGTGCTGGACAGGGAACAGGAGGTCTGGGATCTGGGCAGAGGCTGATTTCAGGACAGGCAGGAGAGCCAGGCCTAGAGCAGTAGGAGCCTGGAGTGACCAGCAGACAATGTGACAATGCAACAAACATCATGTTTATTCCAACTGTACAGGTAGAAACATAGAAAAGCACTCGGGCTGAGACCTGTTTGGCTCAATGGATAGAGCATCGGCTTGTGGACTGAAGGGACCCGGGTTCGATTCCAGTCAAAGGCATGTACCTTGGTTGCGGGCATATCCCCAGTAGGGGGTGTGGAAGAGGCAGCTGATCGATGATTCTCTCTCATCGATGATTCTAGCTCACCCTCCCTATCTCTATCTCTCTCCCTTCCTCTCTGTACAAAATCAATAAAAATATATTTAAAAAAAAGAAAAAGAAAAAGAAAGAAAAGCACTCAGGTGCCATCAAGCACTTTACACATGTTTGGGGTTTGGTGATTTACATACAGAGGGTCCTGAGCCCATCCAGTGTGAAGGGACTGAGCCTACCCAGCCATCCTGTCCAGTACGAGTTCTCCACTCACCCGGCTTCTCAGGAAAGCCTCTGCCCTGGCCAGGTGCCCGGTGTGACCGGACAACACAGCCGACCCCAAGGTGCCCGGAGTGACCAGGACAGCACAGCCGACCCCAAGGTGCCCGGTGCAGCTCAGCAGCCTGTGACCTCCCACACCAAGATCTCGTTGTGGGCCGCCGTGAAGAGCAGACTGGCAGACGGGGCAAACCTACAGAGCTGTACCCAGTCGTCGTGGCCAGCAAAGTCTTGTGCAGCCCCTGACACACAGTCCACCAGCCTCAGCACACGCTCTGTGGGCAAACGGTATGGGTGGGTCCTGTGCCCATGTCTGCAACTCCGGGGCCCAGGGGTTCCCAACCCACCCTGGCTGCCTCCAGCTGGATGTTGAAACACCAGAGAATCTGGGCTAAATGGCCTGTCTTCCACACCCAGGGCCGAGAAAGAGCCTGTCATTGTCAGGGTGTCTAACAACCTGGGGCTTCTAAGGCCCCAAACTGGGCCGCTGAGGCCCTCTATTTGGTGCTTGACTCAGTTTCCCACTTCAGAGATGAGGGTGCAGACTGATGGGCATGTCTCAGTGTGGGGGTACAGGTTAAGTCCACTAAGTCCCACTGAGATAGGCAGAGTCCATACCCACCAGTACTCACCAGCAAAGCCAATGGCCATGGAGTGGGCCCTGGGGGACAGACTCAGGGACACAGCAAAGAAAGGGAGTGGGATCTTCTTCACCACCTGTGGGCGTCGAGCATAGGCGGTCAGCAGGGGGTCACATGCCCTGGACCCTCCCCTCCCAGGGTCACAGGGGCGTGCACATGCCTGCTTCTGGCAGAGGCTGTAAAAGACCACCTCTGGATGTGGGCCGAGGCCTGCACACGCCAGCAGTGTCCTATCCCAGGGACAGAAGGCGGCGAGGGAGGGTGGAGAGCAGTCTGAAGCCTGAGGAAAGGCACAACGTGCTGTGGCAGGATGGGCAGGCACCGTGCCCCCCCTGAGGTGCCACCAGGACCCTCACCTCCCTGAGGATCGGTGCCGGGAAGCTCAGCCAGTCCACAAGCTCACAGCAGTCCCGCAGCCAGTTGGAGGCCCAGATGCTGACCCGCTGGTCCCCGCTGGCCGCCAACCACAGGTCTGTGCCCTCCACCCCGAAGGCTCCATTCTGGGCGGGTAAGGGCAGGTGAGTACCCCCTGCCCCACTTTGCCCAAGCCCCTTCTCTGCCAGCACCCCCCAGATGAGGCACTGCTGGCCACGTCACCTCTTTGCTTGTGCTCTGGATGGTAGAGATGGGGGCACCCCGGTGGTCACTCAGCGTACGGAAGGTCAGCCCTGTGCGTGGCTGGCTCACAGCCACAAGCCCATCCTTGTCTCCAGAGATGATGGTCTGACCTGGGCCAGGCAGGAGCCACTCTATTACCTTGTGAGCTCCCAGCCCAAAGGTGTGACTTGGGCCAGGCAGGGGCCATGGGACCACCCTGTGAGCCCCCAGCCCCTACCGTCAGCGGAGAAGGCGATGGCTGTCAGTGCGGCCCGGTGTGGGTGCATCTTGAGCTCCATGGAGATCCGGGAGATGTTGAACACACGCAGTGTGCCATCACTGTAACCTGCCGCCACGTGCTGCTGCTCTGGGCGGCCACAGGACGGGGGGCTCCAAGCCAAGCAGAGGCAACTCTGGGGACCCCCGTGGGGAGACATCAGCACTCCCCTGGGGAGCAAGATGGGGCCCAACCCCAAGGCTGAGGACAGACACTGAGGCTGAAGGGAAGGTGGAGCGCCCAGAGCCCTTCAGTGGAGAGGCAGGGTCCCACCCCAAGCGCACGCACGCACGCACACCCCCCCCCAACCCCTGGTGCCCTGAATACCTGGTTCAGCACCTGGAACTGGATCACCAGCTCCATGCTGGACAAGGACCACACCCTCACACTCCCGTCATCCCCGCATGTGGCACAGTGGGACTCGCTGGGGCTGAAGGCCACCTCGTTCACCTGTGGGTAGCCAGCCAGCCCTGAGGCCAAGTAGAGGACACAACAGGGCCAGGTCACTCCTGTGAGAGCATGTGTCCTTCCCAAACCTGCCTGGCCATGGTCACCTCCATGTGGAGCAGAGAAACTGTCCTGACCTCCCTTCTGAGTGCCCCACACAAGACCTAGGTGGAATTCAAATTGTAAGGGGCCCATGTGCCATTGAACCTGACCGGAACACCAGAGAAGTGTTCTGGAAGAACCTAAAATGTGTGGAGGGTCCTGGCCATTTTGGCTCAGTGGATAGAGCATCAGCCCACAGATGGAAGGTTCAATTCAGGTCAAGGTCATGTACCTTGGTTGCAGGTTCGATCCCCGGCCAGGGTCAGGGCTCGTGCATAAGGCAACCAACTGATGCCTCTCTCTTTTCACTTTCCGTCTCTTCCCCTCCCTTCCAATCTCGCTAAAAACCAATGGAAAAATAGCCTCGAGTGAGGATTAACAAAAATAAACAAAAAATAAATGAAACTTGGTGATGGGACAATGCATCCATAGAGGACTGCAAACTAAAGGTTGAACCCTGGTCAGTGGGAGGCCCAGGGATGCATGGCCTGGTTTCTCTGCCACAGAAATTACAAGCGGAAAAGCAACAGAGGGAAAAGGAAGGAGAAGAGCCAGGCCTGTGGGGCTGGCACGAGTGGACACCACGTGGCCTGTGTCAGCACGAGACGCCGTGCAGTGCTAAGTGTGTGGAATCCCTTTCCTGAAATATTTGCGCGTGAACTAATCCCACAGCTGGGCCTGACCCGGAACAACTGGGGGCCGGGGACACAACACAGACAGGAGAGAGTGAATGCGGAAACCACCTCGGACACCTCTGACAGACGGCTGGCAGCCCCGCAGCTCACCTTGCTTCTGTGGCCGCTGATGAGGCGGGTGCTGGTGCCCTCGGCCCAGCTGACATACCAGAGCGTGCCTGCCGTGGTGCCCACCACGCCCATGTCCATGCTGTCGTGGAAGACGGCGCTCACGATGGCCCCGTCCAGGGTCAGCTCGCGCTCCAGGAACACAGAGCTGGACCTGGGGGGAAGCAGAGGGTCCCGAGTGGAGGCAATGAGAGCCCAGGGAGCCTGGTGCTTCTGGGGTGCGCCCATGTCCTTGAGCTCTGGCCTCACCCAAGCATGTCCCCGCGAGGGCAGGCCCAGCTGGCGAAGGCTCACCTGGCTCCAGAGCCCTTGCGCCGCAGCTCCGGCACGGCCCCCACGGCCCACAGGCGCAGCCGCCTGGTGTTGCTGCCACTGACCAGCCGCGACCCCGAGCACAGCAGCACTCCTAGGGGGCAGGGGCAGGACGTGGCAGGAGCTGCTTCTCTAGCTGCCCAGGACCCGACAGGGTCCTGCTGCCCCAGCAATGGGGCTCCCGGGGAGAGGCCACACCCCTAGCTTGGGGGAGGGGGGCCCACAGGGGCTCCTCGGGCACCCACCGATCTCACCGTCGTCAGCCTCCCAGGCCAGGAAGCACCGGCTGGCACTCGTGTCCCAGACACAGACCTGGCCGGCATTGGAGCCGCAGTACAGCAGGGGCTCGGCCCCGTAGCACAGGGACGTCAACTCGCCCGCCCCCACCGTCTCGGGGATGGGCTCTCGGTGGGCCTGGAGGGACACAGGGCAGTGCGGGTCAGTGACGTCCCAGGGCCCGGCTAGACCCGTCCTCCAAAACCGCCTCTGAGCCCTGGCACCTGGAGGCTGATGTCGGGCCCTCGCTGCTGCAGGAGCCACACGGTGAGGGCGCCCTGGCCCACGCAGGCGAGCTCCCCGGCGCCCCAGGGGCTGAAGGCCATGTCGTGCACCGGCTCCGGGAGGTGGGTAGACGAAACGAGCTCATAGGTGGCCATGCTCCACAGCGCCAGGGTCCGGTCTCCATAGTCCCCTGGGAGATGCATGTGGTCATACCGGCTGCCCAGGGGTCCCAGGACAGGCAGGGGAGTCCAGAGGCCACTGCCCTCTGCACACCCCCTCCCCCAACCGACCTAGTGTGACAAGGAGCCGATCGTCCCGTGAGAAAGCTAGGGCTTGCACAGCGGTGCGGTGGTGAGAAAGGAGCTGCTGGCAGGAACCCCCGGGCACATCCCAGATGCGGATCTGGCAGCCAGAGGCGGCACCACCACTCCCAGAGGCAGAGGCCAGGACCTGGCAGGGTGGGCGAGGGGGAGGTGGTTAGTGGGGTGGGGCAGGCCAGGGGGGTACTGGCTCTGTGTGGGTGGGAGGCCAGGTCGCCCCCCGTGCTGCTCTGGAGGCCTTGCAGGAGGCACACTATCATGTGCACCAGGACCTGGGCGTGGGGGAAGCACCTGGGCGTTGTGGCTGAGAGCCAGCGTAGAGATCTCCTCGGAGTGGCCGAGCCAGTGCTGCTGGGAGCCGGAGTGCAGGTCCTCCACCACCACCAGGCAGCCGCAGGTGTACGCAAAGAAACCTGTGGAGGGAGGGAGCCCCAGAGCGGGTCTGCTGTGGCCCTGTCACCCTCCCTGTAGCTCTGGGCTGGGAGCCGGGGCGCCAGGGGGTGGTGGGGTAGGGAAGTGGTGGGTGTCTATGGTCCCTACCTGTGTCTGGCCTCCAGATCACGTTGGCACGCCCATTCCCGTTGTAGCCCACAACAGCCTTCAGGTGCAGCCACTCAGCCCCGGCAGGCGGGGAGGACACATTCTGTGAGAACATGGTCCGGGATGCTTACGTATGGCACAGCCCACAGCCACCCCACCGACCGCCCGCCACCTCAGGCTGTGTCCCATCGGGCTGGGCCTGGGGCGAAGCTATGGAGGTACACGCCCGGGATGGGACAAATGGCAAGAGCGTGGGCCCAAAAGCATACACATGAGAGGCCAACTGGAGATGGAAGCTGGCGGTGCAGACAGGAGGCAGGAGTGGGAGATGTGGGTGCTCCCTGTAGTCCGGGGAGGGCAGACAGGGTAGACAGAGATAGCAAGACCCACGGGCTCTCAAGGACAGGACACATCGTGGAGATAGTGGGCTTAGCTGGACACTGAGTGTCAGCGTGGGGGCGAGAGCACAAGAGCGCGGTAAAATGTACCTGTGAAGTGACTACTGCCAAGGCCTGGACTGCCGTCAAAGTCAGCAGCAGCCCCAACCCAGGGATCCCACATGTTAGGAAGAAGGAACACTCCCAGAAACCACAGGGTTGTGGTGTCCCCTCTGGGGTGTCCCCGTGTGCCAGAGGCTCCCACCCCGTACAACCTTGGCCAAAAGGGAGGCTTTGTAGCGCGCTGTGAAGTGTCTGTAGGCGTCTGGGCGGGCAGTGGGCTGGGTCCTGGCTCCCCTGATGCTCCAGGAACCTGGCAGAGAGGAGGAAGAGGCCACAGGAAGGCAAACCACCCACAGCATTCAGAGACCCCGCCCTCCCAGTCACTGGGCCTGGCTGGACAAGAGCACCCAACCCAGGAAGCACTCAGAGTCAGAGGCTGCATACCAGCCACAACCTGGCGCCCGACCTCACAGCAGCCTCAGCTCATGGGCTGAACTCCAATCTGGGGTCCATGGGCACCTACATCTGACCCACGCCAGTCATGAGTACCCTGCCCTACCTTGCTTACTAGGCTGGCCGTGGGGGTGGGGCAGCACGCTGAGGTCCCAAGGGACCCCTGTGGCCCTGTCTCCAGCCCCACAGGCCTCCTTCTGCACCAGCAAGGGCGGGCCTGGGCCCTGGCAGAGCCCTTCAGGGCTGGGGCTCTCCTCAGAGGGTCCTTCATCTGACGCAGAGGAAGTGCCTAGGGGAGTTGGGGGCCAGTGAAAGGAGGGCACAGAGCCCCCTACACCTCCCCTCTCCCCACAGACCTGGAGCAGCACCCAAACACGCTGACAAACAGGCCTGCCCAGGTGCTCCGGGCCTGCTGGCCTTACCATCACCGCCCTCTAAGGGCCCAGCACAGATGCTCAGCTGGGGTGGGGCTGCCTGGAATGGCACGGGCACCTGACACCGAGGGAGCCCGTTGGTCCCGGAAAACACATCCTCCTGCTGTCTTGCATTTGGGCCTGGGGATGGAAGAGGCTGTGCTTAGGGACTGAGGAGGACAGAGAGCAGAGGGGGAGGGATACCTGGTCCCCCACCCCTCATGCACTGGGACCCTCAGGACCGAAGCAGCACCATGCCACTCCCAGTGGCTCCAGTGCCAACATGAGATGTCACCACAGACCTTCCACTGCGGTGCAACCACTCACAGCCTCACTGGTTGGGGGGAGTCCAGGGGAGCTTCGGACGCTGCAGAGGCAACAAGAGAGGGTGTCAGGCGGGGAGGATGAGGCAGGAGGCGTGGCAGAGATGGGTCAAGGGCACTTGCCTTTCGGGGGGTGACCTCTCAGGGGGGGCCAGGACGTCCCAGAGGAAGATGGCATCCCCCGCGCTGAGGAGATGCCGCTGGTCCGGGGTGAAGGCCACGGCCTGCACGGGCTCCGAGTGGCCGATGTACACCTAGGGCAGCACATTTCACATACAGGGACCCCTGAGGCCAGGCCAGAGACCCCGCGGTCCTCCCACAGTCAGGCCTGACCTGAATGGTGGCCGGGCAAGGGGTCCTCATGGTGTCAGGCCCTACAAGTCATCGTCCACCCTCCTCCTCACCCCCCTGCCTGCCCCCACCCGTGTCCTCAGCAGCACGCACCTGGCAGCTGGGGCTGGACTGCGTTAGGTAGTCCCACACCTTGATGGCACGGTCGGCAGCTGTCAGCAGCAAGCGGGCATCGCTGCTGAGAGCCAGGGCGGAGCAGGATACGGGGTGCATGTCACAAAACTGCAAGAGAACATTCTCGTGGGGAGACGATCAGAGCACAGGAGTCCCCTGAACCTGGGAGACCTCCCTTCTCAAAGCACGTAGCTCTCAGGAGTGGAAGGCAGCCCAGCACCTCCCCTCCCCAGGCACGGGGGCCACAAAGATGGGAGCCCAGGGGAGCCCAAGCCTCCGGCCACGCGCCTGGACTCACCTCCCGAACCATGCGGCCCGATGTGACGTCCAGCACCACCAGCTTGTTGGAGGACAAGGACACCAGCAGGTGGCTGCGAGGGGCGGGGCTGAAGCAGACAGCCTCAGCCGAGTCCAGGCCGCTGCTGGCCAGATCCAGGGCGCTGACATCAATCCGCAGCAGCTGGGGGAGAGCAGCAGCTAGTCATCTGCAAGCCCCGCACCCGTCCCTGGCTGGCCCGCCCTGGGCACACCAGGTCCTCTGTGCCCGTGAGCGAGGGCAGCAGGGCCGGGTCCTCTTGGAAGTGAGTGTGGCCTCCCACCTGCCGCCTTGATGTGTGGCTCTCCACACAGGGCCACGGAGATGCCCCGCCGGGGGCCAGGCGGAGCCCAGGGGAGCCGTGCGGCAGAAACACCCCTGGGGTCTGCCGTCCAGGCTGGTGCAGGCCCGCCCACAGTGGGCACACGGAAGGTCCTGGCGCACTCACATCATCCAGGGAGGCTGCGTCCATGATGGTCACCATGTACTTAAAGGGGCCCAAGAAAGCCAGCAAGCGGTTGTCCGCACTGACGGCCAAGGCGTTTGGACGTGGGAGGGCATCCCGGCACACCACGTTAGCTGCCGGGATCACAGGGGCGGGTGTCAGCTGGGTGGGAAGGGGTGCCCAGAGCAGGCACAAACCCTGCCTGCAAGTGCAGAAACTGGCCCAGGGCCCAGGTCTGCCAGAATATAGCTGGGCTTCTCCTCGGCCACGTGATCTCCCAAGTAACCATCTGACCAGCCATGGGAGGGACAGATGCCCTTGGGTGGGCCTACCCTCTGCGAGCCTGGCACTCAGGCTGCTCACTCCCTTGTGGGGTGGGGCGGAAACAGACCCTCATAGACCTTCTGTTTTGAGGGCTTGGTGTGTCCTAAAACCAAGTAGTGAGGCCACTGACGGCAGTTTCCTGCCAGCAGTGAACACTAGGCAAGCCCCACCCCCCAGGAGCCAGAGGAGACAAAGGCTGGGAGGCGGCGGGGGTGGTGTCTAACCTGCAACACGCAGGACACGGCAGGAAGTGGCAGCGCAGTGGTACTGGGCCAGGGTGCCCTGAGAGCAGGCGCTGAACAAGAGGCTGCCATCGGGGCTGATGACCAGGCTAGTGATGGCTCCTTGGTGACACCTGCCCACACAGGGATGCCCGCTGCCTTGGCCCCGAGTTGTACCATCTCTGACCACATCCCCAAGGGGCAGCAGAGCAGGAGGCCCCTGAGGACGGCCCTCCCCTGCTCTTCCCGGCCGCCCACATACCCCAGGGGGCCCCACAGGTATCCACCAGAGGCATCTGCGGAGCCAGGGGCCAGCGGGGCACCCACCTGTGTTCCTCCAGGACCCTGGTGGCCTCCAGGCTGAAGGAACGGACGGCCCCGCTGCCGAAGCCGCAGAAGAAGACGGGCTGCGTGGGGTGGAAGGCGACCGCACAGGGCGCTTCCTCGGGCGACGTGAAGTCGTAGAGCTGGCGGGCGGGGCCGTGTGAGGGCGGGCAGGGTGCTCGCTACCAGCTGGCCAGACCCTGAGAGCTAGGCCCTCTTCAGGTGGCCGAACCGGAGGATCCCCAATACGGGCCACCAGAGGTCCTCCCCGGCCCCCCACCTGCCTGGGCCCGGCCCCCCAGCCTCAGCATGGCCCGCGGCTCTCCAGTCTTTCCCTCCGGGCCACACTCTACCTGCTGCAGGGTCGCCAGGTCCCAGACTCGGACGGTGTGGTCCTGGGACACGGTGGCCAGCTGTCCTCGGTTGCACTCGGTGGCGAGGGCCAGCACCGGGGCAGCGTGGGAGCGCACCAGCACGTTATACTCCCGGGAGGGGATGTCCAGGAAGCCCAGGTGGCCCGAGGAGGTGGTGGACAGCACACGCAAGCCGTTGAGGCTGAGTCGGACTGAGCTGATGGGGCCCTCATGCTCTGCAGGCAGGGTGGCTGGGTGACCTCCCAGGCAGGGTGGGCCGGCACCAGGGGGGCAGGCTGGCCACACCCAGGATGCACCTCCCTCCCAGCCCCCCAAGACACAAACCCGTTTCCTTGCTGCCTTCCTGTGGACAGATCAGGCAGCTACCCCGTGGCCACCCACCCCTGGCTCAGCAATGGTGGGTCCAGGGCCAGGATGGAGCTTCTCAGAGTCCTGACGGCCATCTAGCCCAGGGATGGACCCGGATGGCGAGCGGCCGTCTTGTCCTACCTGCCTCCAGGAGCACCGAGGAGAAATCCAGGGGCCAGAGGCGCAGGCAGCCGTCCTCCGAGCCCACCGCACACTCCGCCTGGGAGATGCTGAGGCTGCTGATGGCGATGCCAGGACCTGGGGGGCAGGCGGCGTCAGCAGGAGCATCAGGGCTGCTCCGCCCACACAGCAGGGGCTACCTACCCGTGCTGAAGGCCTGCTTCTGTGGGAGGGGGCTGCTGGGAGTCTCCATGGGCAGGAGGTAGCGAGCGCACCGCACAGCCATGCGCTGGTGGTCAATCTCCAGGATGTGACCACTCCGGCTGCAGACGTAGCTGCCCGGGGAGGCGACAGGTGAGGGCCGAAGGGCCAGACGGACGGGACGGGGCTAGTCGGAGGACAAGGGTGGTACTCACAGCATGCGGCCATCCTGGGCCTTCCCGAAGGCCAGGTCAGTGAACTCCAGTGCGTGATGCTCCCCCAGGTCCACGGGGCAGGAGCACAGGCCCCCGCCTCGAAGCCGCCACAGCCGCACATTGCCCCGCCCGCATGACGCCATCCTGCAAAAGGGTAGGAGTTATCCAGTCCCCAAGGGAGCTGAGGCTGCTGTGGACAAGGGCCCGGAGTGAGGAAGGGGAGACGGGCTCAGTGGTTCCGCCCCATCCAGGCCCATGGGGTGCCAGACCCCCCCTCCCAGTCCTGCAGGTGGACAGGAGGCCCGGTTACCTGGTTTCATTAAAAAGGGCAATCTCAAACGCCTGGATGTCAACGTCAGTGTTTGCCTTTGCGAGAATGACGGCCTCACCGCCTTGCCCCACCTGGTCAGTGCCCCACGCCACCACCACCTGCAACAAGTTCCTGCTGAGACCCTGCGGCACCGGCCTGCCCTGCTGGGCCTCCACTCGGCTCCTCTCTCCTAGGGGAGTCGGCCCTCAGCTGGTGGGAGTGTGGGGAGGGCAGCCCCACGACCCAGAGGGACCTCCACTTGCCCAACCCGGCTTCAGACATAAAACCCAGCTGCCCTATGACTCCAGAAGATGCCACCAAAGAGAGTGAGGCGAGTTATTTAAATGTTGACTCTAGACCCAGCCGGCATGGCTCAGTGGTTGAGCATCACCTATGAACCAGGAAGTCACAGTTTGATTCCCAGTCAGGGCATAAGCTTGGGTTGCAGGCTGGATCGCCAGTGTGGGGCGTGCAGGAGGTAGCTGATCAATGATTCTCTCTCATCATTGATGTTTCTATCTCTCTCTCCCTCTCCCTTCCTCTCTGAAATTAACTGACTCCACCCACAAGGGGTGTAAAACAGAAGATACTCCGTAGTGTGTGGGAGGGGAAGGCCAGCAGGGGAAGGTTGCTTCCTAAGTGACTTGCACACGGCCCCACTTCCTCAGCCCGCCCTGTTACCATCTTCCCGTGGCGGTCCTTGCCAATGCAGCAGAGTAGTGCCCCGCTGTCGGAGAAGCTGTGGGCGTGGAAGAGACAGTCAGTGTCACCAGGGCTGCCCCTGCCCGTCTCAGAGGCCCTTCACCCACCTGAGGGAGCAGACGGTGTGGACAGGGCTCCGGAACAGGGACAGGCAGCTCCTGGTCTGGAAGTCCCAGAGGCGCAGCATGCTGTGGGGGCGTGCCTGGGCTGAGGCCAGCAGAGAGTTGCTCCCATCCAATGCCAGGGCAGAGACCTGGGGAGGCGGCAGGTTGAGGGAAGCTGTGCAGCCTTTGGGTGCAAGCCACCCCTGGCCCGGCAGTTCCCACCTTGTCCGTGTGGCCGAGGAAGAAGCGCTGTTCCCGGGTGTCCACGCACAGGACCACAATGACCGCATGGCAAGGGTACACCACAGCAGCCCCATCCTTGGTCCACAGGGCCTGTGCACGGGGTCGGAGGCTGAGGTCGCAGGCTGGCAGGCCTCGCCTCCCCACCCTGGTATACCTTTCCCACGTCATGTGCACAGGAGTCAACGGGATGCACACATCAAATAGGAAACTGACAGACACATGAATACACGTGCATGCACACTCACACACACACTCACACAGTTTCCTCTGAGCCCTGTCCGCAATGCAAGAAACTTTGGAGTTCAGGCCATGAAAAGCCAGAGAGCCCACAAAGACTTGGAGCTTGTGTCCAGGAGGGCCTGACAAGCCAGGGCCTTCTCTCCCCCTGTCCCCGACCGCACCCCACAGGGACCCACCAGTCACGCCCACACCACCCCACATGGCTGCATCAAAGTTTTAAAGGGTAAGAGCTCACTGGTCTCTAGAAGCTCAAACACTCAGACCCACACTGACCAGCCAATGCTCATGAGAACAAAGGGAGCCTGTGAGTGACGGTCACTGAGGAAGCACCGAGCTCAGTGCAGACGGGAGCAGGAATGGGAATGCAACAGCAACCTCCGGGGATGTAAGGCCTTTCCTGACACTCGTCCAACCCACCGAGAGCATGGGACCCCTCACCCATTTAGTGCTGTGGCCCCCGAAGCCAATGACTTTCTTGAGCCTCAGGACAGGGTCTGGCAGGAGGCTCTGAAACAGACAAACCCACTGTGAGACCCCAGAAAGCAAGACCTGGTCCAGCCATGGCTGCCCAATGGGGCTGGTTCCTTCCTCCCAACAAGCTGCTTAGGACTGGGTGGCTTCTTTGGACTGCTCTGTGGCAGGAAGTCAGGATTCCTGCCACACTGCCGGTCTCTGGTGCTGTCCCCGAGGCACCTGGGGCTGAGAGTTGGGAGCTGGGCACCAGACCCTCCTTACTCTTCATTGAAAGGGATTTTTTAAAAACATATTTTAGCCGAAACCGGTTTGGCTCAGTGGATAGAGCAATGGCCTGCAGACTAAAAGGTCCCAGGTTCAATTCTAGTCAAGGGCATGTACCTTGGTTGCGGGCACATCCCCAGTAGGGGGTGTGCAAGAGGCAGCTGATGGATGATTCTCTCATTGATGTTTCTAACTCTCTATCCCTCTCTCTTCCTCTCTGTAAAAAATCAATAAAATATATATTTAAAAAAACATATTTTATTGATTTTTTACAGAGAGGAAGGGAGAAGAAGAGAGAGTCAGAAACACTGATGAGAGAGAGACATTAATCAGCCGCCTCCTGCACACCCCCTACTGGGATGTGCCTGCAACCAAGGCACATGCCCTTGACCAGAATCAAACCGGGGACCCCTGAGTCTGCAGGCCGAAGCTCTATCCACCCAGCCAAACCAGTCAGGGCGGAAAGGGATTTTTGCCCAAAGCTGCCTCCTGCCTACTCTGTGTTCTGCCAAAGGGCTGATGAGAAGGGACCCTCAGAAGCCCAATTGCCCCAAGCATGGCTTGTGGTGAGCAAAGGCCCAAAATCCCCCTACCCACACCTCACCAAGACCCCACCCACCTCGATGGCTTAGACTCCCCTGCCTTCCTCAAGACATGCACTCACCTCAGGCTTGGTCACGTCCTCCGGGGCCTTGGACTCCACGGCCAAGTTACGAACGTGCCTGTCAGTGGCCTTCGTGCTGGCCAACAGCCGTCGTCTGTGGACCCTGGAGCCACCCCCGATGGAGACTTCGGAGCATTCAGACAGGCCATCCTCTGCAGGGAGCCCCGAGGAGGCCCGCCCAGACTGTGGAGGAACAGTGCCTGTCAGACCCTGGGGCTACCTTCCCCACCTCCGACAGCACAGGCACTCACAGCTGCGGGGCCAAGCACCTGGACCACAGGGGACACGCTGTCCTGTCTGGACTTGCAGAAGGGCACTGGACGAGGGAGAAGCTGTGGCACATGTCTCGGGAAGTCTGCAATGAAGCAAAGGGCAGAGCCCACTGAGCAGAGTGAAGAGGCCTGAGAAGGATGTGGCAGAAGGCACCGGGCAGGGCAGCAGAGAGAGAAGCCACCTCGTCAGCTACAGCCCACCACTGCACCCAGGCTCCAGCACCCCTCCCAGCTGGAGAGCTTGAGGCCCCCGGGCACCCCACAAGCCGCCTCCCGAATGCATCTGGGACCTCAGGATGACCTCCAGGCTAGCCCAGGCTCCTGCAGGCACCACACCTGAGTTCACCACCACCCAGACACAATGCCAGGACCCGTCCCCCGCAGAGCTGTGCGTGCCCCACAGGCCCACCTGCCTCAGGAGGGGAACAGTTCCTCTGAACCAGCTTGGGGGGCGCTGCTGGGCTGTCGCTTGGAAACCTCAGTGGGGCAGAGGGAGAATCAGCATAGCGGCCACCCGCCCTCCCCTGCCAGCCGCCCTGGGACAGGCAGAGCTGCTCACCGGATGTGAATGTAGTGATCGTGCCAGTTCTCCCCCTTGGGCACTGGAAATGCCATTTCTCGAGGCATGGGGGTGACGGGCAGCTTTGCCCACCGGGCCTCGGCGGCAGTGACAGCTACAAAGAGTAGAGTTGCTCCAGGTCTAAGGCAGTGCGCCCAGCAACCTCTCCCAGCCCAGGCGAGACTCCGCGCACCAGGGGCTTACAGAGCATCGCCTGGGCATCTGCCCAGCCACCACCTCCTCCCATCAGTGTCTTGGGAGCTAGGGCAGCAAGGGCACCTTCATCAGGTGCCAAGGCCTCTCCTGGGCAGAGAATCTGGGGGGAGGGATGGGTTTGGAGCAGCCCACCTGCAGGCTAAGTGCAGGGCGCAGGGCACAGCCCTCACCTGGGTCGAAGCACAGATCGCTGGTGTAGAGGCTTCGGACCAGCAGGCTGGCACACAGCCGGACACCCTTGAGGTGGTTGTAGCGCTGGTTCAGGTACACAAGGAGGATGTCATGCAGGTCCAGCTGTAGGCAGGTCCAGCGGGCAGCAGGGGGAGGCACACCTGCCAGGTCTGCAGGAGGCAAGCCAAGGTCAGCAGTGCCCATCCTCTCACCAGCCAGCCCACAGTGCCTTCTGTCCTTGGCCTGACCCCATTCCCATGGCCAAAACCATGTGCCCATCCCCCTCAGGCTGCCCCACTCCAGGCCACAAAGGAGCCTGACTGGGCCTGTCCCACCTGCCCCTGGGCCTGCCCCACTTCCCAGTCTGCCCTCAGGCTGCTTCTCCTGGACTATCCCTGTCCCATTCACGCCCCATCTCTGTGTCACCTTTCCTGGATGTCCCTTCACAAAGAAAAGGGAACTGAAGCCACGTGGCTGTAGATTTAAATTCCTTGAAGAGGTTGGAAAGGGATACACGGATGACCTGGCTCTCCTGCAGGGGCACAGGGTGGCTGTAAGGAGACCAGAGGTGGCACCAGGGGTGCAGAGCCCCCACCACGGACCCCGCTCCCAAGCTCAGCACCTCAGTGGACAAGTCCAGGTGGATGACGAAGTGCTTGGTGGACAGGGGCCGGAAAAGCAGGTACAGGTAGCGTCCCGTCAGCCCCAGGGACTGCGAGCTGGTTTTGGGGAGCTGGATGTAATTGCTGGCGGAGATAGTGCCTCTGATCCGATACACGGTGCACTTTAGGGTCTTGTCCTGGAGAAAGAGATGGGCGTGTGCCCCACAGAGCCAGGGAGCACAGGAGAGGCGCTGCCCGCAGGTGTCCTAGGCAGAGAAGAGGACCCCACGCACCCTCTGCCAGGTCTTCGGGCTCACTCACCATCACCGTGGCCACGTCACCCTCCTTGGTGGACCGCTTCCACTCGTCCACCTTGAATTGTCTGAAGACGTTGAGGAATGGGTGCTGCCACACTGGGGGGACAGGGAGGTGTGGGGGACCTGCCCCAGGTGCCAGGCCCAGGGCGGGGCTGGAGTCTGGGTCTGCACGCTCCCCACTAGTGACAGCAATCAAAGCGCGAGTGCTGGGTCCGGGCCCGAGATCCGCACCAGCCCGCCCAGGGGCCTGGGACGGGCGCTGACGAAGCCAGGCCGCAGGCTCCGTGCGCACCGGCCACCGGCCCCGGCCCGCCCCCCTCAGGATCCCGGACCGCTCGCCCCTGGGTCTGCGGGCCGCGCGCCTACCCCGCGCCATGGCGCAGCCGCTGGCACTCCGCTTGCACTTCCCGCCTCGGCCGCCGCGCGCCCCACGCAGGGCACGCAGCGCGCGCCTAGCAACGGCCGCCTGGCAACGGCGTCACTTCCGCCTTGCGGACCACGTGACCTCGGGCCGCCACCTCCACCTTAGCGGCGCTGAGTTGCTGAGTTCGTAGTGGTATGGTCTCTTGCGGGTCCCCAAGACCCTGCCCAGGCTGTTCTGGCCACTCTTTCGCTGTCGCAGTCTGGGGTAGGAGCCTTTGTCCCCAGGTTCCTGTGGGCACTCTCAAGCCAGGACCCAATGGGGGAGGGGGGGCTCTAGCACCACCAGCTTTGGGATCCGGGGAGGTTCCTGACTCGTTCTGGGGTCGATTTCCAGAATGACACGCACCCCCAAGAGCGGTCCACACCCACAGACAGCCCTCTGGAGGGAGGGTGCACACCGGCTACTCCCCCTTCATCCTGTCAGCCAGGAGGTCACCTGCCCCACAAGCTAACAGTGTCCCACAAGAGCCTAGGGTTGAGCAACCCCAGCTCCCATAGTCATCTGCCAGAGTTCCCCCAAAACCTGTGGGTCATCTTCCTCCACTGTCCCACTCCATGTCTGGGAGAGAGAACCAGGGATCCTGAGACCCGGCCTCAATCCTGGGGCTCTGAGACCCCATCCCAGATTCCGTTACAGAACATTTATGGGCCTCCAAGCTGAGCGTGGGCACCTGCCAACTCCAACAGGGTGAGGAAGCGGGAGTGGGCACAAGTCAGGTGAGGCACAAGCCCCTCAATCAGACCCGAATGTGGCACGCCTAAGCCAGAGTGAGGTTCAGACTTCCAAGGAAGATGAGCTGGCCCCAGCACCGCTGTCAGGACACAGGAGAGCAGCTACGCCCTCACACATACACAAACACACACACACACACGCACACCAAATAAAGGCCACTCTGAAAAGGCAGTTTCTTGACTTTATTAACCTGGAGCTCTGCCATACCAGCCCCAGGGGCTGGTGCCCAGGCACAGTGAGCAGGATTGAGGTCAGACAGGTTCAGCCCCTGGCAGCCTGGCACAGCTGGGCCAAGGGGTTAGAAGGTACAAAAGTCCAAATGCTGGCACTTCAGGTGTGGCTGGCTTCCAGCCTGGCCCGGAGGGGAACACGACCTGCTGCAGTGGGTATACAGGGTGGTCCTCTCCTGGCAGAGGGTCTGCCGTGTGGCAGGGCCAGGCCTGTGCAGGCAACGTTCCTTCCAAAGCAGCGGCTAGGAGCAGTTAGTGATTCTGGCCAGGAACTGCTGTGCCCACCACTCATCCAGGTCGATGGGCACGAAGTCTGTGGGCAGAGCAGAAGGCTGGTCAGTGATGTCGCCTGCCAACCTGTCGGCATCTCTCCCCCTCAAGCTGACCACAAGCCCCTCACTCAGACCCGAATGTGGCACGCCTAACCCAGACCCCAAATGTGGCAGGCAACTGTGAAGATGTGAGTCAAGTTCAAGTCCCCTCTGCTATGTCCTAGGACTAGAACCTGGCAGGGCCCAGGTCACTGTGGCAGGGAGTGGAGGGTCTCCCTGAGGGTGGGGGAGGGCTCACTTTGCAGTCTGGGGTTGGGGGTCCTCTCGACGTACTGCACAGGCCTCGGGCTGCTTTCACCGGCTGGGCCACCACCCAGCTGCTGCTCCACTTGCTGCCAGGCTGTGGGGGAGAGGACAGTCAGGCTGAACCAGGCCTCCCTGTCTCCACCCTCCTCCCCAAGGCCACTCTGGACCATAGCCCAGACGTGGAAGTACGCAGCCTCCTGGACTGTCGCAGGACAAACAAGCGGAGAGCCCAGGAGGAACCCAGCGCTCTCACAGCTGCAAATCAGGTTGCAGCGGGGAAGAGGCCAGGGGCTCAGGCCATACCCTGGAGCCTCCAAACTACCTTCGGACACAAAGCGGACATTCTCTTCGTGGGCCAGTGTGTAGGTCTCCTGGGTCGCCTCGATGGATGGGGACGTGGTAGGGGGCCTCCGGCCATTCACTCGATTGAACACAAGCCTTGGCCCTGTACTGTGGGAAGAGGGAGGAGGTGAATGGTGACTGGTAACAGCCAAGCCTAGGGGCTGCCTGGTAACGTTCCAGGCTCAGGCCACACCCCTTACCCCCAGGCCAAGCCCAGCCTCAGCCCTTCCCTGAACCACAGCCTTCCTACAGCCAGTGGCCAAGGCCTCTTTCCTGCAGGCCTGAGCCCCCCAGCAGCTCAGAGCACACCCCTGGCCCTGAGGCATACCTTTGTCCAGGCTCCCCAGCAGGGCCCATGCTCAAGGCACACAGGCACCCCTCCAAGGACCTCTCAGGCACCCAGCCCGCCTCCCACCTGCCTCCCACCTCCCATGGACTGGCCAGGCCTCCGACAGCCCGGGTTCTGACTAGTTGTGACCAGATCCCTCTGTCCCAACCCCACCCACCAGGTACAGTTCTTGGCCATTTCTCTCCACAGAAGCTTCTCCATCTCATCAATGCCCCAGGGTGGGAAGAAGAACCCAAACAAGTGCCCAGTGACCTCTGCTCCCGGCCCCGTAGGGATGAGCCCAGGGAATGGCGTGCAGTATGGGGTGAGCGTTCTTGGGCAGGTGTGACTGCAGCCCTGGCCAATCCCTGCCAGCCCCACACAAGGGCAAGGCTCTTGCTCACAGGGGTGGGAATGCTGAATGAGGAGGTGGCCATAATGGGCATGCTCTGTCCAGGGGGCCGCTGGGCCCGTCCTGGCCAGCTGGACCCAGGGCTGTGATGGGCCATGGAGGGAACAGGGCCGCACCTAGAGCAGGAAGTGGGAGCCGGGAGTCCTGGGCTGCACGTGCCACTCGGCCAGGCACTCTCCTGCTCGCCATCCTGGGCTCAGGTGCCCCACCGCTGCTCGGACTTCCTCCTCAGCCGAGGGGAGCACTAAAATAAAGAGGAGCGTCTTGAGGGGCACCGGTCCCACCGGCTCTGGGCTACAGGGAATCTACTGGGATGGGGCTCCTCCCAGTCTGAGCTGCAGAACCAGAGGATGTGACCTGCCCCATACATGCACACATGCACACACACGTAGCAGCACACACACACATGACTGCAGACTTCAGGAAAAGTTTGCAGGCTGGATACTGAACAGGGAACAAATAAAGGGAATTGCAGCCCTGGACTTCAAACCACAGGGACCAAGGTGGTGGCTGGCACCAGCCTGGCCACCCCTGACCTCTGTGGGCACTTGGTGTGGTTACATAAAGCCAACACACAGGCCCTCTGGGGGAAAGGGCACGGGCTCCCATGTGCTCCTGTGATTGAAGGCCACCCTGTGCTGCTCCCAGGGACACTGGCCGCAGGCCAGCTCCAGCCCAAAGCACCCACGTCTCTGTAGCACCAACAGGGGCATCTTCTCACCTAATCCCTTCCAAGGCCCCCAAGGTAGACCCCCCCCCTAGTTTTCAACCCAGAATCTGGGCTCAAACGAAGTGACCTGTCCAAGGTCACCTGCCCTGATGGGTAGCAGCATCAGGCCTCAACTGCCCATCTAACCCCACAGCCTACAGCTCTGGTCCCAAGCCCCCTCCCCACCTGCCTCCCCACCCTAGACCTCTGGTGGTCACATGCCCCCATTCCATCTTCTTCCCAGCAGTTGGTATAGCCTCTCTCCTGCCTGTCCCTGGCAGGGAGGGAGAGCTTGTCAGAGGTCCAGACCCATGTGGCCTGTTTACCACCCTGACCCGGGACCAACTAGAACCCAAGCCTGTCCATTTAGAGGGTCAGACATTGTGAGCATCTGCAGGGCATCAGGCCTGCAGGATGGATGCAACACCCCCTCCCTCCTGGACAAGTTGGGGCAAGGATGGGGAGCAGTGAGAAGGCTTGGCAGAGGAAAAAAGCAGGGGAGGGGGGCAGGGGGGCAGGGTAGAGCCATTTTAGAGAATGGCCCCCTGAGAAGATGCAGTAGAGGTCAGGGCCCCTCCAGGTAGGGGACAGCTGGCCGGGTGACCTCCCAGTGAGGGCTCTTTAAGGCCACAGGGACTATAGCGGGAAGTTCAGGGGAGAAGGAGTGACCTAGGAGAAAAGGGCAACCAGCCCAGCGGGCACTCTCTCTTCCTGCTCCTCACTCCTCTGCACGTGGTGTGCACGGCCCAGCTCCTCAGGTCCAGCTTGTCAGCACCCTTCTGACCCGGGACTTGGTAGGCTGCCTGTGCCCACGGGCTCAGGGCATGCTGAAGACAGGTGAGGCCTCCTGGGAGTTGTAAGGGCTCTGTACTGTCTTCCCCACATCCCTCCCCAGCAGGCGGGACATGGAGAGGAAGGTGTAAGTTTCTCTAGATGAAAGGGTGGGGAGCACCGTGGGCCATTCCAGCCCCAAGCTACCTGGCTGGGTGGCACACCTGTGCCTCACTTCTTCCCCTGGGAGGGAGGGGCACTGCCAAGACCACCGTCCAGGCGACAGGCAGCGTCAGCGCAGCCTTGATCCCAGAGCAGCCCTGAAAGCTGCTCACTTCCCTCCCAGGAGGCCCCTGTGACTGGCCTGGGACATTCTCCTCACTAGGACAGAGCCCCAAAGTGTCAGCTCAGCTCCGAAGGGTCCCCAAAGGATGCCTCCACATGTGTCATTTGAGGCCTGGGACTGAGGGAGAAGGGCAGGCTGAGGGATCCTCTCTGTCTTCCCCGTACACATGCACACATACACACACACACACACACACCCCTGACCTCCTGACCAACTTTAGAGACTGTCTGTCCTCATCTTGGGAAGTCCCCGTTGCCAGCACCTCCTCCTCAGCACTGCCTCTGGGGGCCTTGAGTCTGCTGCCCTCCCCCACGGCCCAGCCAGGAGCCCTCGGCCTGTGTGCACCTAGACCAAAGCCAAGGCCGGGGCCTGAGCTCCGTGGGAGGGGAATCTGACCTCCAGTTCATGGTAGTGTGAGGCCAAAGTGTCCAGGACTGACTGGTCTCAGGCCCCTGGCACCAGCCAAACTGCTGGTCAGGAAAGGCGAAAACCGCAGGCTCCAGAGAGCCCTGAGCATCTTTGGGAGCCTCTGGGGGGCCCAGCCAGGGTGTTTGGGGTGAAGGGCAGAGGAGGGCATTTGGCATGGCAAGGCCAGAGGGCACCACGTGCCCCTCTCCCCCAGCGAGCTCTGCCAGCAAGGAGTTGGCAGCCGGACAGGATCCTTGAGGGCCGGCGCCCTGGGCCGTCACGCACCCGCGGGAGTCCAGAGCAGCTGGCCTTAAACCCTGTTCTCTGAAGCTCAAGGTCGCTGGGACATTTGACTCAGAAGCCCGGAGCCCCTCCGACCTTGGAGTCGGTCGGCTTTCTTCCGGGGTGCCACAGGGCTCGCAGTGGGGGTGTCTATCCGACCCAGCTGGGTGCCAGGTGCGGCATCAGCGCTGCGGGAACCGGAGCTGCCCCGCGGGCAGGGCTGGGCGCGGCGGGTGGGGTAGGCGCGCCCCGCCCTCCGCGCCCGCCCACCCCGAGCACGTGGCCCCGGCTCCGCTAACCTTTCCCCAAGGTCACTCTGCGGCCCCCGGGCCGGACGGCCGGCGCGGGGAGGGGGGGCCGGGCTCCGGCCGGGGCGGCGCGCGTCTCACCTCAGCAGGGGCCAAGGTCCGGGGGGCTGCGCCCGCGGGGGCGGCGGGGTGGGCGGCGCGGGCTGCCGGCATTTCAGGAGCTCGCCCAGCCGACTCTCCACCTGCTGCTGCGTGGGCCCTGCGGGCACAGGGGGGCGCGTTAGCCGCCGCGGCGGGGGGACCTCGGGACCCTCCCCGGCCCCGCCCGCCGCCCGCCCGCGCACCTGTGCGGCGCTGCGCCACCAGCTTGCTGGGCCCCTTGGTGATGGTGTACATGGTGCGGGGGGCCGCTCCGCGCCGCGCTCGGACGCACGCCCTCGCCTCCCCGGCCCGCGGGCAGGTCCGGTGCCCTCCACCCGAGCTCGCGCCGGGCTGGTGCCGCGGGCGCAGCCCCTTTAACGGGCGGCGGGAGGGGGCGGGCCCGCTACACGCCCCCGACTCTTAAAGGGCTCGCGCTACTAGCGGACCGGCCCGGGGGCAGGTCCCATGCCCTCCACCCGAGCTCGCGCCTGGCTGGTGCCGCGGGCACGGCCCCTTTAACGGCGGCGGGGAGGGGACGGGCCTCCTACACTCCCCCGGCTCTTAAAGGGCTCGCGCTGCGCGGACGGGCCTGGGGGCACGCGGCGGAGGCGGAGCTCTGGCTCCCGGGGGAAATGTACCCGATCTGACGAGGCTGCAAGCCTGGGCAGAGGGAGTGTGGTGGGACCTGAGACGCGGGCCCCCGCGCTGCCCGGAGGCCAGGTGAGCCTTGGGTAAGGTGACCCGACGTCCCGATTTCTAACATTTAACGCCGCGGGACAAATTGTTACAAATCGGGACGTCTGGTCACCTTAGCCATGAGGCCCTCGCCCAAGACCTTTGCTGGGCCAGCCGGGGTGCTCTGTGTGCACCCCGGAAAAGAGAACGCTTCTACTCCTGTCGCTGGCCTCAGCCAAGATGCTTGGCTTGGGTGGGCTAGGACAGTGTGAGGGGTCCGAGGGCGTCAGAGAAGAGAATAGGGGGTAGGTCTCCAGGGTTTGGGTAGTTGGCAGACACCCTGGGAGTCTTCCTTCCACCCCAGGAGACAGGAGCCGCCTTCTGCTCCATGTCTCAGCCTCCCACGACCATGCGCTCTGCCAGCCAGCCCCAGGGCAGGGAGCGAGCATCGGGAGGGAGACCTGTGGGCAATAGGATGGGGGGAGGGAGACGGTGAGGTGGCCCAGCTTGCCTGTGTTATCTTGAGGCGGGTCAATACGAAGTTAGGGACATTCCCTGACAAGTGGAATAAGGGAAACAGACAAAATAATTAAGCAAGGCCAAAGATTTGAACAATAATGAGTCACAAGGTTTTGTTTTTCCTAACCAAGGACACTGAGGAGCAAATGGTTTACACAGTCCAGACCGTCTCCGGACAGAACGGCCTGGGTCCTTGTCCCTCTCTGCAAGAATGTTCTTTAAAATTAAAACTAACCAGCCCAGCACAGCTGGTATGGCTCACTGTTTGAGCCTGACTCACTCCCAGTCAGGGCACATGCCCAGGTTGCTGGCTCTATCCCCAGTAGGGGGCGTGCGGGAGGCAGTAGATCAATGATGTTTCTCATCAATGTTTGTTTCTCCCTTTCTCTCCCTAAAAATCAATAAAAATATTTAATAAATAAATAAAACTAACTTAAAGTTACCCTGGCCTCTATATACATACATTTTGGTAAATCAACATATCGAAAGACACAAAGCTACTGAATATTCTATTGAGACCCTTCCCTGAGACCTCCCCCAGGATTCCAAGAAAGATAAAAAATAAACATTAAAAAAAAAAAAAAAAAAAAAAAACTCTCAATGCCCTAATAAGTTTGGCTCAGTGGATAGAGCATCAGCCTGTGGATTCAAATGTCCCAGGTTCAATTCCAGTCAAGGGTATGTGCCTTGGTTGTGGGCACATCCCCAGTAGGGGGTGTACAGGAGGCAACTGATCCATGTTTCTCTCTCATTCATGTTTCCAACTCTCTCTCCCTCTCCCTTCCTCTCTGTAAAAAATCAATAATATATTATTTTAAAAAGACTCAAGACAAAGGATACAAGGCCCGCTCCCTAGAGCAAGCCCATACTTTGTATCTTTGCTGTTTTTCTTCTAAACACTATGGATCCCATGAGACCTGCAGGAAGGGGAGCAGCTGGCAGCAGCAGCTCATCCTGGGCTCACTATTTTTTTTTTTAATTGATTTTTTACAGAGAGGAAGAGAGAGAGATAGAGAGCCAGAAACGTCGATGAGAGAGAACCATCAACCAGCCGCCTCCTGCACACCCCCAACCGGGAATGTGCCCGCAACTAACGTACATGTCCTTGACCGGAATCGAACCCGGGACACTTCAGTCCACAGACCAACGCTCTACCACTGAGCCAAACTGGTTTTGGCTGGGCTCACTCTTTACCTGTCTCCAAGGCCCCTTTTCTCTGACTTTCTCCTGTTGCTTCCTCTACCTTAAGCCTTTGTTTCACTGTCCCCAACTTTAATAAACATACTCTCAAAATCATCTCATATTGTGAAATCTTTCCTACCTAAAGTCAAGAACCCGTACACTGCCCGGGGGCTCACACTCATTCCATGCCCAGATTCCATCTGGTACATTCTGTTGCCCAATAAGGGGAACAAAGTTGTTTTCTTTTCTTTTTTTTATATGTGTTTTTTAAAATATGTTTTTATTGATTTTATAGAGAGATAGTAACATCGATGAGAGACCTACCAGCATGACTCAGAGGTTGAGCATCAACTTATGAACCAGGAGATTGAGGTTCGATTCCCAGTTGGGGCATGCAAGAGGCAGCCGATCAATGATTCTCTCCATTATTGATGTTTCTATCTCTCCCTCTCCCTTCGTCTCTGAAATCAATTTTATATATATAAATATATAAAGAAATATTGATGAGAGCATCCATCAGCTGCCTCCTGCACACCCCCTACTGGGGATCAAGCCTGAAACCCAGGCATGTACCCTGACTGGGAATCAAACCAACAACCTCTTGATTCGTTGGGTCAACCACTGAGCATGATGGCCAGGCACTAATTCATCCTTTTTGTCACTTCTCATCATTGGTGTGGGGGAAGCCTACCTATCAGCTGTGGAGTAAATCTTTCATCAAAACGTGCCTCATCAGCTGTAGCCAGTTTGGCTCAGTGGATAGAGCATTGCCTGTGGACTGAAGGGTCCTGGGTTCGATTCTGGACAGGGACACATGCCTGGGTTGTGGGCTCAATCCCTAGTAGGAGCTGTGCAGGAGACAGCCAATCAATGATTCTCTCATTATTGATGTTTCTATCTCTCCCTTCCTCTCTGAAATCAATAATATATTTTTTTAAAAACTTGCCTCATCAACGCTGAAATGGAAGGTAAGCCTGCCCTCTGGACACAGAGCAACCCACCCCTACAACCATCCCCAGGTCATACCTGGGTGACTGGGTCTGGTGAATCAGGACTGGGTCACCCTGATGTCCAAAAAGACCCTTTTCCTCCCCCCGTTTGGCTGGCATGGAGTGAGTCCCTGTCTGAGTGGGGTAAATCCATCCCGAGAGGCATCTGGCAAATGTATAGGTGGCTGGTGAAGCCACCCTCAGGGCAGAGGGTAAACATGCTTTCTCTTTGTATTTCCCTTTCTGCACTTTTCTCTGTTCATCCTATATAATAAAAGCCTAATATGCTAAGTGTCCAGTCATCTGGTCTTTCATTCAACCAATCAAAGCATAATATGCTAATGATATGCTAAAGCAGCTCAACCACTCGCTATGATGTGCACCAACTACCAGGGAGCAGACACTCCAACCTGTAGGTTAGCTTGCTGCTGGGGTCTGAGCAAGACAGGCCAGACACACCCTGGAGCCCTCCCAAGGTCCCTCCCAGGGTGGCCAACCTCCCGCACCCCTCCCTCGCCCCATAGTGTGCTTGTGGGGTCCCTCAATGTTGGCAAGCCAGTTTCAGCCCGATTCCACAGCCCAGGCCAAGGGACCCCGAATTCCTGCACCGGTCCTCTAGTATTGTATAAATCCTGGTCATGTATTAGAGCAGTTTTAACAAGTTCATTTCTGTCATGCCACACCTTACCCTCTGCCACCTGCTTTCTCCTTCTCCTGTTTAAATCCCTCTTTGGGACTCTGCATATGTAATTCTTTATCTTGGGGTCAAGGCTTTGTTTCTACAGCTCACTCAGATTTCACTGAGTCTCCACAAGTCTTCCCACTGGGCAATTAGAAATGTAAGCAAGGCCTTGCTCAGTGGTATATGGGTGGGGAGTCACAGTCAAGGTCACATACTTTGGTTGCAGGTTCAATCACCAGCTCTAGTGGGGCACAAGCAGGAGGCAACCAACTGATGTGTGTCTCTTAGAGAACTGCTCCTCTCTTTCTCTCTCTCTCTCTCTCTCTCTCTCTCCCCTCCCTTCCACATTCTCTAAAAAAAAAAAAAAAAAAAAATCCTCTCATTGGGTGAGGATTAAAAGGAAGAAAAGAAATGTCAACAAGACTAAGGTGATTGCAGGAAAATAAACACCCTAATCCTCCCCCTGGAGGCTGGGGAGTGTGGCTTGGCTTCAGTCCTCAGAACAATAGGGGATTAACATCTCCCCAAGGTCCTGTGCAGGTTGTGGGAACAGCAGTAGCAACTGCCTCACCTCACTGTGTGTGTGTGTGTGGGGGGGGGGGGGGGGGGGGGGAGGCTGGCATTAAAACAAAAAACAGCCCTAGCCGGTTTTGCTCAATGGATAGCGCCTTGGCCTTCAGACTGCAGGGTCCCAGGTTCAATTCCAGTCAAGGGCATGTACCTTGGTTGTGGGCACTATTCCTCTCTCTTCCTCTCTGTAAAAAATCAATAAAATATATATTAAAAAAAATAAAATAGCCGAAACTGGTTTGGCTCAGTGGATAGAGCGTCGGTCTGCGGACTGAAGGGTCCCAGGTTCGATTCCAGTCAAGGGCATGTGCATTGGTTGCGGGCACATCCCCGGTGGGGGTTGTGCAGGAGGCAGCTGGTCGATGATTCATTCTCATCGATGTTTCTAACTCTCTATCCTATTCCCTCTTCCTTCCTCTCTGTAAAAAATCAATAAAATAGCTGGGACCGGTTTGGCTCAATGGATAGAGCGTCCGTCGGCTTGGGGACTGAAGGGTCCTGGGTTCGATTCCGGTCGAGGGCATGTACCTTGGTTGCGGGCATATCCCCCGTAGGGGGTGTGCAAGAGGCAGCTGATCCATGACTCTCTCATTGATGTTTCTATCTCTCTCCCTTCCTCTCTGTATAAAATCAATAAA